AGATGTGAACAGGACAGACTCTTCTGGTGGAGCCTGTGGAAGAACAAAGAGCTACTTCCTCTGTGAGGCCTTTTGGTATTTATGAAGTGCTCTCAGATCCATGGCCCACGGCTGACATGCCTCCCTTCCCAGCTCCGGCTCTTCCGGCCTGTGTGTGTGGATCAGGTTCTTCCCTTCTGAGCCGCAGAGTCTCTGTTTCTGTTCAGAGAGTAGGGCAGAGTCTTAAGAGTGGTGATGCATTTTGAGACTCGAATAGCCTGGTGCAAAGTAAGCGCTCAGTTAAATAGCAGCCACTCTTACTTGTCACTCCATCCCCATCACTGAGAGCCATGGTGTCGTGTCCTCTGAGACAGCCATTGTCTCGCCTGGGGGTGGCCTGGCTGGTGGGTGACAGGCCAGCCCAGGCTCCAGCTGCAGGGGGACTGTGACCCGCTGACCACAGTTGCTGAATATTCAGTGTGTCTGGCACTGCCCATAGCAAGACCTTTGTTCAGAGTTGATAACAGCTCTTTGTTGCTGTGCAGAGCGAGGGAGTGGCCTCCGGCCAAGATTTGGACGTTCTATCTTCAGGTCCTACCTTGCCACATCCCCATACTTGCTTTAAGAAGCCCCTGTTACTGATGGAAGTGTGTCATATCCTCCTGGGGGCCAGCGCCAGGAAATAAAAGGCTGAGTGAAACTCACAGACTGGCACATGGAGACTGGCGGGGCTCCAGGCGCGTGGCTGTGTGTCATCTGTGGGGCCACAGCTGTTCCCTTGTGTCTGAACATGCCCGCCAGGGAGGCAGATAGCCCTGTCCGACTCAGCACAGAGTGAGGTCAGGGGCTGCCCTCCTCCAGGCACCCCATCTTCCCTGTGTGGAAGCCCTTCTCTGTCCTCCTAGCGGGCAGTAGGTTTATGGCTCTGTGTGTGGCAACAGAGCCTAGCCTCTCCCTGTACCATCAGTGGCCTTTGGGGCTCATAAGTGACCCCTGTGGTGGAAAGTGGGGTTCTGTCTTGTTTTTTTTGTACTTGTAATTTTTTTTAAGATTCATTTTTATTTATTTATGCATACAAGAACTGGGGTGTAGGCCAGTTTTGGGAGCAGAGAGGATTCACCAAAGACAGAGTGGGGAGCGGAACAGGCAGATCTACTGAAATACACTGCTGAGGAGCAGCGGGAGAGACAGGCGAGGTCTGCTGCACCATGTGGGTAGCTCCCTGGCTGGGGCTCCAGCTCTTGCTGCAGTGGCTTGATAGCACTGAAACTTTAACCCCTGCACACCAGGGAGGCCCTGATAGTTGTAATTTTTTTTATTGTGATAACAGTGCAGTGGTTTACAGCACTGTGTATATTTCAGGAGTGCAGGTTCCCATCTCTTCAAACCTTTATCACACCACACCCACCATCAAAATACCAGTAATCCTCCACCTTTTGCTTCACCCACCCCCAGCTTCACTTCTGCAGTCAGATCCAAGGGTTGGTTTGGGTTTGATTTTGTTTGTTCCTTTGTTTTGTTCTTTTTTTAAAAAGATTTATTTATTTATGCATACAAGAGCTGGGGTACAGGCCAGAGATGTGGGGGGGGAGTGTGTGTTTGTGAGAGAGAGAGGATTCACCAGAGACAGAGTGGGGAACAGAGCAGGCAGATTGACTGAAATACACTGCTGAGGGGAGCAGCGGGTGAGACAGGAGAGGTCTGCTGCGCCGTGTGGGTTGCTCCCCGGCTGGCTGGGGATCAAACTCGTGCTGCAGAGGCTGTGGATTGCTTCATAGTGCAGTGCTTAACCCCTTGTGCCATAAGGAGGCCCTGTTTTGTTCTTTATATGCCACATGAGTGAAATCGTGATAGTTGTCTTTCTCCTTCTGACTTATTTCACTTAGCATCATCCCCTCTAGTTCCATCTGTGTTGTCACAGATGGCATGAGTTTATCTTTTTTGATCACTGAGTAATATTCCATTTTGCAGATACAGCACATCTTCTTGATCCACTCATCTATTTTGGGGCACTTAGGTTGTTTCCTTAGCTCGGCTGTTGGAAATAGTGCTGCAGTGAACAGAGAAGGGGGCGTGTATCCCTTCAAGTTGGAGTTTTATATTTGTTCTTCCGATAGATACCTATGAGTGGAATTTCTGGGTCATACTATTTTCCATAGAGGCTAAACCAGTTTACCTGCGCCCACACTTGTTTCTGGTCTTTGATGTGGGTCATTCTCACAGGTGTGAGCTGGTATCTCATTGTGGTTTTGATGTGGATTTCCCATCGCTGAGTGATGATGAGCAGTTTCTCATGTACCTGTTGGCCATCTGTATGACTTCTTTGGAGGCGTGTCTATTTGTATCTTCTGCCCATTTTTTGGCTGGGTGGTTTTGTTGAGTTGTTTGAATAATGGAGATCTACCTGGCAGCCTCGAAAGTGCGCCTTTAAAACGTGATCAGCCCACTGCCTGCTCAGCCCAGAGCCCCTGGCGGCTTCCCATCTGCCGTATGCGAGGGCGGTATCGCAGCCCACAGAGCCCCACCTGGCCTGGCACGCTCTGACTCTATTTTTCCATTCTCCATCCCACTTGCCAGTTGTCACTAACAAACTACCCAGATGTAGAGGTTTATGCCTTTTTATTGTTTCTGTGAATTCTGCGCATCAGGATGTCATCAGGAAGGAGGAGGCAGTTTGCTGCATGTCACATCTGCTGGGGCTGGAGCATCTGATGGCCTCTTCACACCCATGGTGGCGCTGGCTAGGGTGACCTGGAAGGCTGGGGACTGGCTGCAGTGGCTCCCTGGGGTGACATCGCTGAGACTTCTGGAGGCTTGGGGATGCCTTTTTCCATCAGCTCGTCCCCCAACATAGCTGGACTTTTTACATGGTAGCCCCAGGCTCCCAAGAGCATCAAAATGGAAGCTTCCAAGCCCTTTGGAGGTTTAGGTCTTCACTGTCAGACTCCAACTGGTAGATTGTCATTTCTGTTTTGACCTTTGGTTAAAGCAAGTCATAGATGTGACTGAGACTTGGGGAGGGGACCACAGAAGGGCTGATGTGGCTCATGAGAGTTCACCAAAAAAAGAGCCTACCATACCCCTGTCCTTCCACGTAGGCCCATGTATGCTTCATCAATCCATGTACCTCTGTGCCTCAGGGCCTTTGCACTTTCTGTTTCCCTTCCCCACAGTGCTCTTGCCCAAATATCCACGGGGCTTATTCCCTCCATTCTGTCTCAGATGCCATCAGACCTAACCCCACCTTATCACCTCACCCCACCAATCGCCTTATCCCATACTTTTTTAATACCTCCCAGCATAGAATTTATTGCCTGCTTATTGTCTGATTTCCCCCTGCCAGTGAGTAGGGTGTTTACCCTGTTCACTGTGGTATCTCTAGCTCCAGATTTGACACACGGTAGATCTATTTGTTGAATATTTGTGGTGAGAAAACAGAAGCTCAGAGAGGCTAAGTAACTTTTCCCAAAATGCACACAGCTGATATTTAACAGGAATCAGACCCAAGCAATTTTAACCTCTCCCACAACAAAAATCAGATCATGCGTAGAACCCAACTTGGGGGTATCCTGCATCTTCAATAGAAAGCCCAGACTACTTAGGGTACACAAGGCACAGCTAAGCTTGCTTGGCCTCCAGCTGTGACCTGATGTTATAGAAAAAACATGAGTGTTTGAGTCAGGAAGATGTGCTTCTGTTTCCAGAGTCCCCACATGCAGACTCTCCAAACATGGGCAAAATCAGGAATGCTGTCCGTCCGTCCGTCCGCCCGTCCGTCCATTCATCCATCCATCCACCCATCCATCCATCCACCCATCCATCCATCCATCCATCCATCCAGTAACCATTTATTGGACTTTTGCGTTAAGCCAGGGTCCTGGGGTGCAATGGTGAGGAAGTCAGCCCAGCCTCTGGGGGAGACAGACATACTTACAAAGTCACCCAAATAACTATGTATTTATCAAATTGTGGTAAATCCTCCAAAGGACTTACCGTATTTGGGAAAATGTGGAACATGACACCTAATAATAGTGACATTCGAGGAAGGAAGGAAGTGACATTCGAGTAGGAGCTTATAGGATCAAGGCAGAGGGCGGAACAGTGCATGCAAAAGCTCCAAGGAAGAGGGAACACCTACCCATTTTAGCATCTGAAAGATCCTAAAAATGTGTGGTGGGAGCACACAGAGCTGTGGACCTGCAGACAAGAGCAGAAGTCAAATTGGGCAGGGTGTTGTGGGTCTGGCAAGGGGGTGGCACACCCACTGGTGACTTTATTTTCTCATAAAATGGGGAAAACAATAGTACCTTCCTCTGCCTGTGGTCAGCTGCCTGTAGACTGGTCTGGGTGGTCTCAGCTGGGGCGCATGGTCTCATTCCCCGGATAGCTCGGGCTTATTCATGGGGCTGCGGCTGGGATCCAGAGAGCAGCAGAAGCTAGTGAAGTGTAATGCAAGCACAGCCTCACTTCTGCTGCAGATCACAGGGCCAGCCCAAATCCCATGAGGGCTGTGAAGCTCTAACATAGTGTTTGGTGCATAGGGAATGCTCTAGAAACGTAATTATCAACTGTTACTGTTATTATCGCTATGTACCTGCATGGCACTTGATGCTTCTCACAGTTTTATCCTGTACGTCGTCATCTGCTGCACTGTGAGGATAGTTGGGGCATGTAGTCCTCACCCCATTTGACAGATGAAGAGCAGAGTTCAGATTCCTGCCCAAGGTCACACATTGAGTTAGTGGCTGCAGCCAAACACTAGAACTCAGCTGGCAGGTAACTGAATGCTTACTTGCTAAGACATTTGCCGAAAGTGAATCTACTTGCAGATGATGTCAGTGTCCCAAGCACCATCCTGGTAAATAAAATAATAAGATACAAATGCTTTTGGCAGTGGCCCGGGCTCGTGAGGGTCAGCAAGGTTTAGTTCTGTTCTCTGTGACCCAGGTCTCCTGTGCAAGTCTTGTTTTGCAGCTCCCAAGCCCGCTGGGGTGAATGACGGTCTTCTCTTTTCTATGCAGAGAGCCTTTCTTTGGACTCCAGTTGCTTTTCTCCTCCACCTGTGAATTTCCTTCAAGAATTGCCAAGCTACCGGTCTATTGCACGGAAGAGGAACATCCTTACCCGAGACAGGCAAAGTGGCACTTTGCTGAAGCCAACAGACTCTTATACCTCCCAGCTGGAGGGAGGAATCTCTGAAAACTTTGATAACCAATCCATTCGAAAGTATGCATTGAACATTTCTGAGAAGCGGAGATTAAGGTATGTTCCATAGCCATCTGGAAGCCTGTAATAGATGCTTTGGGCAAAGGTGCTGTTTTATGCATGGACTGCATTTTCTGAATAGCTCACATAATTAAAACTATATTAATTAGCTTACTAAGCCAAGCTGTTGTGGCAAAGATACCCAAACATGTAATCGCTCAACCCATTAGAAGTTTATTTCATGTAAAAACTCCTGGGTTCAGGTCAAGGCGGGGTATTGCTGTCCTCAGGGGCCCAGTCTCCTTCCATCTCGTGGTTCTGCAGCACCCCCAAAGCCCTCAGTGTTGTGTGCCTCCAGCCAGCAGGAAGAGAAAGAGCATGGAGTGAGTGCACCAGTTAACTGTTCTACATAATAAATCACCCACAATTTTGTAGCTTCAAACAGTTTCACAAGTCTGCAGGTCCGATGGGCTATTCTAATTCCAGTTGGGTTCATTATGCGTGACCAGCTGTGGTCTGGCAGATGGAACTGTTCGTGGAGGCTGAGCATCAGCTGGCTGTTGACCAGTGTGGGATGGATCTTCCATCAGCAAAGTAGCCTAGCCTTGTCTGCATGGTGGCAGCAGGGTGCAGGGGAGGAGCAGCAACCTGTAGGCTTTTTGACACTGGGGTAGAGCTGGCACAGCAGCACTTCCGCTGCAGTCTATAGTCTGTGCCGATCACCTGGCCAGCCCCAACTCGATGGATGGGAAAAGAGATTGCTTGTCTGAAAGGGAAGAGCCATAGAGTCACATTGAAACACAGCGCACACGTGTTTACTGGGGGACAAGGGTGAGTATGAGCTGGGTCCGGAGATGACACGTCTCACTTCTACTTACGTTTCTGCTGGAGAGAACTTATAGTCACGGGGCCATACCTGTCCCTCAGGGAGGCCGGGTACTGTCTAGAGCTGGTGCCAGAGAGGGGGAGAATGGATTTTGGGGCTAGCTGGCCATCTTCTCTATCCTTGCAGAATTCAAAACATGATTTTCCTGTTGGCCTGATATAATGACAGAGGTGAATGTCTCTGTTTAGCTGTTTGGGCTTCCCAGGGGAAGTGGCTTAAACCCAGCCGATGCCTTGCAGCTTGAAAACATACAAACCTGAGTGATTTTCATTTTAAATTAGTGTGTATGGGGGAGCCTGGGGGGGAACTTGTGTTCTCAAACAGTGGCGTGACGGTGCTTTATTTTCTACTATTTCATATTCACAAAATTTGAATTCTTATGAAATACTATTGCTCCGTACTAAATGTTGCCACCCCCAAGAGGGAGCTCTATTTTCTTCCTTCAGGGGGTTTCCTAGCCCCTCATACAGTAACTGTTGTCATCGTTTCATAGATAAACAAATACAAAACCATGTGCTGCATACCTGAAGTGAATATAATGCTATATGTCAATTATATCGCAATTAAAAAAAGAAGCACATCCTTCAAATTGGAATTCCAAGTCCCTCTCTCCCAGGCCCTAGCTCCCAGCCCCCTGTCCCGCTTCAGTTCCACGCAAATCTCAGTTTCCTGTACCTGCCTGGGGACTTGTCATCTATCCCTTTTGACTTAGTGAACAACTGCACATTTTTCCTCCCTCCTAGACTATCAAACCCCCTCAAAATTCCTATGCTGTCTTTGTTTTTTTTTTTTTAATGCAGGGACATTCAGGAGACCCAAATGAAGTATTTATCGGAGTGGGACCAGTGGAAACGGTATAGCAGTAAGTCTTGGAAGAGGTTTGTTGAGAAGGCTCGAGAGATGGCCGCCCACCTGGAGCTGTGGCGGGAGGACATTCGCAGCATAGAAGGTACCCCACCCCTATGGCACAGGCTCCTCCAGGGAGTCTGCTTATGGGGGGTCGGGGGAGTGGAGTAGCTTTGCTTTCACTGACCTTTTGCTGAAATTTAGCAATTCTTATCACGATGAATGTGAGCAACAAACCAGAGTTAGGATGGTCTTTGGAGATCTCAAATACTTTCCTGTCCCTTTCAGAAGTGTAGTTAGGACAGCAGTTACACTCATCCCTATTTTGAAGTGATGCCAGTGATGCCAGTGATTAGGCTGCCACTCTGTCTTTCGCTTAATGTACTGCTGAAGATGCTCGTGTGTTACCGTATCACACATTTGTTTTTTAATACTGTGATTGCCATATGTCCAGTTGTTCTGAGAGGAGGTTCATTAGCTTTCCCAGACTGCCAAAATGTCCATGACCCTGAAAATAGTAGGAATGCCTACTTTCCATTAATGGTGACACTTGGGATTGGTGGTGGTAGTCAGCTGGAGCTGCCGTGATAGAATGTGATAGATCAGGTGGCTTCAACAACAAAAAGTAATTTCCTTATAGTTCTGGAACCTGGAAGTTCAAGATCAGGCTGCCTTCTGACCATGTTCTTAAATGATCTCTTTTTTTTTTTTTTTTTTTTAGATTTACAATGTTCCTTAATTTATGAAATGCTCCTTTTGTAAATAAAAATTTATAAATTTGGTAGTAATTTACCCTTAGTACAATATTAATATTCCTCAGAATTTCTGCTACATAGAACACATGCTGGGTAATATTGTAGTAGATAGTTTCTGGCTTCAAAAGCTGTGCCAAGAGCAGACCAGTGGGAGATGGAATTACTAGGAAGTGTGTGCGGTCAAACCAGCTTGATGCTGCAGAATATTCAGCGAGAACCCAGGGCTAAAACAGGTACATGAGTGTTGATTATCAGGTCTGCAGTGCTAGAGGAGGGCCAATGTGGGAGAGTCAGTAATGCAGAAGAAGCTAGAAGTATTGAAGAGAATAGACTTGTGAGAGAAACAGGAATAAGCCAATGTTCAGAATCAAGCTGCAGGAGAGCGAGGGAGGTCCTTTTGTATATTATAGGGTAGGGGTAAGGGGTGCAGGGAACCTTTAACTTTCCTAATAGATGCTCAAAGATTGAAGAAAACCATAGAAAATAGTGTCATGGCTCTATATCACCTCCAGTGTTCTACATTTTGAGTACACTTGGGGCTAGAGGAGCTGCTGAGCAATTTAGAAGTTCTCCAATGCTACACACACACACACACACACACACACACACATATACATGCCATATAGATACTATACACACTATATACCACAATATGGTATATATACAATATATGTTTGTGTATACATATATATATATATTAAATGATCTCTTCTTTGTGTACTTGGGGGGTGGGAGAGGAGCAGTGAGTGACAATCAAGGGAGCACTAGGGAACTCTGATGCCTTTTCTTAAAAGGTCACTAATCCCATCCTGTCCGTGTAATTCCAGTTGAAGTCTCAGCAGATTTTCTGTATGTGTATGTGCATGTGTGTGACAATTAATACGCTGATTCTAAAATTTATATAGAAATGAAAGGACTTATAGAATGATCTATATGTTGTAAGTGTGTAGTAATCAGACAATCTATTATTTGTGAAAAGATAGACAAAGAGAATTCAGAAACTGTGTCACACATTTACAGTCAATTACAAAAAACACTACAGTAATTCTTTGGAAAAGGACAACCTCTTGAATAAACGGTGCTGAGTAATTTAACAGTTGTATGAGAAAAGATAAATACTGCATCCTCCCTTAATCATTCCAAATGATTAATTGAAAGTGCAGTGTAGGCGAATGCGAAAGGTTAAATCACTAAGTAGCAGTAAAGCCAACAGTAGAAAAAATGTTTTTTCCTGCTTCCCTCACAGTGGTTGCTCTAACCTTTGTGGCTCTTTGAATCTATAGTGGGCGGAAGTCAAAACTCCTGGTCATTGATGTCTGGATTTCTATGTTCCAGGGAAATTTGGCACTGGGATTCAGTCCTATTTCTCCTTCTTGCGGTTTCTGGTAATACTCAACTTGGTGATATTTCTGATCATCTTCATGCTGGTTTTGCTCCCAATCTTGCTCACCAAGTACAAGATCACCAACAGCAGCTTTGTCCTCATTCCAACCAAAGACGTAGGTGAGTGAGTCTAAGGCATGATTTGCCATAAAGAGGTTCCTTTTCTAGTCATCTTGATCTTCTAAGTTCTTGGGTGACTGTATAGTCAGGATGGGCTAGGTTCTGCTGTAGAAACAAATGCCTGTGCAACTTCCAACACCTAATAACCATGAAAGGTTCTTGCCCCCCTCATAATACCTGTCTATTGCTGTTTGGTGGTGATTTTTTACCATGTTGTCTTCACTCTGGAGCCCAATATGATGGAGCAGCCTCTGATTGGAACATTGACAGTGATTGTGACCAAAAGAAAAAAGCCATGACAGATACACACTGACTCCCACAGCTTCTGCCCAGAGATGACACATGTCATTTCAGCTGCATCTCAATAGCTGCTAGGCACTCGGCTACTCCTGAGATCAGCAAGGCATTTGGGAGGAACACTGCAGGGTGGGAAAGTGGAATATTTAGCTAACGTCATGCAGTCTACTGACCATTTCAAGACTTTCATCTCCAGTAATTATAATGCTCATAGATACTGTTTATTAAAAGCTAGTCCTATGCAGCTACAGCAAGTGCTGGACCTGTTTTTTCTTTGGAATTCTCAATATAAGTCAGGTATTCTGGGCATCCTGTTTGTTCCAGTGGAGATCGTCCACAGACATTTACTGAGTACCCTCTAGGCACCAGACTGCGAGGGGCCTGAAGTGGAGGAGCAGAGTTAGACCAGGCACTCCTATGGGCTCTGACCTCATGCTTCACCTATCACTAGCTCCTCTCCTGGAAGAGCCCTTTTCAGGGCCACTTCTACGGCTCTATGCATTCTTTCTCTGCCTATTTTTTTCTGACTTAATTCTATTACTCTTAAAAACACAGCTTCGTTCAGGGCACAGGAATGTATATTGAGTGCCTGCTGACTTGAAGTTTAAACTTTTTAAACTTTGCCCCTTAAGAAAGCAATCAGAGCTGTCTTCTCTTCTCTCCTTCCATCCCTTCATGCTGCCAGCTGCATTTATTAAGCACCTACTGTGTGCAGGGCCCTGAGTCAGACACTAAGCTACAACTGGGAGCAAGTTCTTGCCTCCGTGGTGTGAATGCACTTGAGCGGGGCGGGGCGCTAAGGAAGAAAGCAGGCAAAGGAGTGTATGACGTATGCATTGGCCACGGCTAACCTGAGGCTAAAGTATGTAGGTGTGGACACCAGGACACTGGAGGCTGGAGGGGCAGGTGTCTCCACAGTCCTCTGTGAAGGCAGGGACATGTAAGCCGAGCAGGAGTGGCATTTGTGGGGTCCTGAGCCAGGAAATAACCCTGTATATTAGAAATGAAAGCATGACGTGGCTGCTTGGCAGGCTTTTCCTGTGACGGGCCTTATAAATATAATAAAGTAAATATGTTCAGCTTTGTGGGCCATACCATCTTGTGGCAGCTCTTCTGTGTTGCCACTGTGGAGTGAAAGTGCCACAGACAGATGTGGATGGGCATAGCTCTGTTCCCATAGCATCTACTAACAAAACAGGCTGCCAGCCAGATTGGACTCTCCGGTCATGGTTTGCCAGCCTCAAGGCTAGAGGGTCGAGTGCGGAGTGGAGTTGCAGGCCTCTCATTCCATCTCCCTGATGCTTCTCTGGATAAATGAATGTCTTCTGTGTCTCTGCATGTAATTAATTCTATGTTCATGTAGCCATCTGAACACCTTATAAAATCCTGCTACTTGTCTTTCTCTCCCAGTTGATGGTGAGTTTTTTTTCAATAACAGGAACTGTTTCTTTTTTTTTTTTTTTAAAGATTTATTTATTTATTTATACAAGCACTGGGTACAGTCAGAAGCGCAAGAGGGTGAGAGAATTCACCAGAGCCGGAGCAGGGAGCAGAGCAGGCAGAAGGACCAAAATATACTGCTGAGGGGAGTAGCAGGCATGGCAGCAGAGGTGGGACCAGTAGCGGGCATGGCAGCAGAGGTGGCATGCCATGTGGGACCCTCTCCACCAGCTGGGGATTGAATCAGAGCTGCAGAAGCTGCGGGCAGCTTCGCAGCCCAGCGCTCAACTGCTGCTCCACCAGGGGAGGCCCAGAAACTGTTTTTTACTCATCTCTTTATCCCTAGCTACCTGGTGTATAGTGATTAAGACATGTTTGTTGAATGAATAAATGAACACATGCATGATAGAATTATTAAATGGCAGAGCTGGGCTTGGCCTTTGAGAACTGATTCAGATCCATTACATAACTAAGGAGAAATAAAGGTCCGGAGAGGGGTGGTAGATGGGGCTGTTTCCCCGTCCTTGTGACTTTGTAGGGCCTCCCACTGTGGACAGAGAGTACTTTCTGCACTTGGCCACCTGACTCGCTAGCTTGACCAGGCTCTGTGCAGTGGCTGTGGAAGGAGCAGTGCTAAGGTAACTGTTGCCTATGCAGCCTGCACCCCAGAATGAAGTCTAGTGGGACAGACCTGGGCCTAGGTGGAAGCCAAGAGTTCATTCTGGCTCAGCCCAAAGGAGTGAACTCAAGCTGCACATTCATGAGTGAGAAAATAAACATTTGGTATGTTAATCAAGGTTAGTTGTTACGCAGCAGTTGCTGACTGATATACAGAGAAGTCAGTTAGTTCAGGCATAAAGTAGTGTCACTGAAATTAGTTTTCAAACAACGCCTTGGTTAATTGCACATATGTAAACATGGGTTTCTCTATGAAACTGCATTATTTTCTTACACACAGAGAGATCTTTCACAGTTGGGTGTGCTTAAAGTGATACAATTCTGCTAATCAGATATTCTAAAACATGGGCAAATGTGAACCCTCAGAACACAAAATGCAAATGTAACAGAAAACCTGTAATATAAGTGGAGCCACATAGAAAATAAATAGGAAAAAGCCTGTGTCCCCAGGTGATTGGGAGAATAGCGAGAAGGGAAATGCAACAGGACTTGGTGCATTGGAGTTTGTTCTGCAGATGGAAGATCACACAGACACATCCATACACAAATAGACACATACATGTATGACATGTCTAAATAAATGTGCGCATACACTTATGTGTGCACACGTCTATACGCAAAGATGGATATGGATGAATAGATGAGCTATAGAGACTAAAACCATTTCCACTAACGTTCTTTTTTTATTTATTTTACAGATATTCAGTGCACGGTTTATCCAATAAGTAGCTCCGGACTGGTTTACTTCTACACTTACATCGTAGACTTGCTCTCTGGCACTGTGAGTATTGAACATGATTTTGCATGGGGGACCCTCCATGGACTGGAGGTTAATTTACACATCAGTTTCCTGAACCAAAGAAACAGGATTTGCAGTTCACCTGTCAGCCAGGACAGTGCTCACTCACCCCTGCTAGAAAATGCAGGAAATTAGGCTTTATCACTCTCAGCCCTTATCCTCTTCCTAGACCCTACTCCCTTCTATTGACCTGCAACAAACACAGAACCCGACCCCAGCCCCTGAAAGAAGTTTCAGGGAATATAAACCTGAAAAGGATGGATTTAATATCTCTGACATGGAAAAGCTTTATTATGTTAGGGTCCTAGCCCACCTGAATTAAGTTCTTCCTGGAATTTATACACCCAGACACATGTGACTTGCACATGCACACCTGTTGCCAGATGTGATACACACCCACCCCACATATGCACACATACTACTCATTTCCGGAAATCCCTGAAAGTCTCTTTATCCAAGTGGACACCCACTGCGCTAGAGTGGGATCAATCTTATCTTTCTTAGAGTATGTTCAAAGGCTTTCTAAATCCTCTTTTTGTAAAAACAGTTTTTTGTTATGCTCTTGTCCCCCTTTTTTCAGCAAATAAGATTACCCGAAAGACCTGGGCTGCCCAGCCTTACACCATTGTCACTGAGAGTCCAATAACTCTGCTGGGGGTGCCCCTGGGCCTGTAGGGTATTGCGTCGCCCCCCACCCTGGTCTCTAACAATGTCTGGCAGCTGTGACGGGCTGGCTCTGGACATCACATGTTTCCTGGGGACAAATTCCCCTGATGGAGGGCCACTCCTTTAGTTGTTTACAAGATACAAATGTTAAAATGCCCATTAGGCAAATGAAAGAACTGCAGACATGCAAATCTGCCAGAGAAGTTCAGTGACTCACCCAAGGCCACCTGCTGGTGAAGGTCAGCTGGGATCAAACCCCAGGACAGCTGTGAGGATTCACCAGAGACAGAATGGGAAGCAGAACAGGTGGATTCACTGAAATACACTGCTGAGAGGAGCAGTGAGTGAGCCAGGAGAGGTCTGCTGCGCCATGTGGGTTGCTCCCTGGCCGGGAATCAAACTTGTGCTGCAGTGGCTGAGGATAACTTGATAGCACTGTCTTTTTATTTTTTTTTAAAGATTTATTTATTTATTTATTTATATAAGCACTGGGTACAGTCAGAAGCGCGGGAGGGTGAGAGAATTCACCAGAGCCAGAGCAGGGAGCAGAGCAGGCAGAAGGACCGAAGTACACTGCTGAGGGGAGCAGCGGGCGGCAGGAGAGGTCTCGCGCCATGTGGGACCCTCCTCTGGTGGCCGGGGAGCAGCCGGGGATCAAACCGGCATTGCGGAGGCTGCGGGCAGCTTCGCAACCCAGCGCTCAACCACTGCGCCACCAGGGAGGCTCAATAGCACTATCTTTTAACCCCTGCACCCACCACAGCAGACATTTCTGTTCTAGGTCTCCAGGCACCAGAACCTTTCTTCTAGGAAAGGTTTTATGGGAGACTTAGATGCACGTGATTATAACTGCTCCATAAAAGAATCATGACCAAGAACAGCCATGTCCAAAATAATTTTTGAATTACTTTTACTGAACTTTAATTTTATTCTTACCCATTATTTTTAAATAGCAAGAGAGGATGCGTGATGGTAAGTAGTTGGTCTTTACTGAAAACAACTGAAACAGGCTGATGATCAAATCAGACCCCTTATTTTCCAGGCCCAGTGGACTTTTGTCCTTTGATGTTATGTTGTTTTGAGGGAGAGATTGTTAACATCCCTGATACCAACCTGGGGCAATAAAAACTGGTTTCTTGGAATTGTGCAAGGTTTTATGGCTTATGTCTCTGGTATTCCGGGTTCTAGAGAAGGTGGAGTCCTCTGTTCCTAGATTTTTTTCCTATTAAGAGTTTTACTTCAATGAAATTCATATGGAATCACCAAAAACCCCGAATAGCCAAAGCTCTCCTGAAAAAAAAAGAAGGAAATGGAGGCATCACACTCCCAGACTTCAATCTCTACTACAAAGCCATAATCATCAAAACTGCATGGTATTGGCACAAGAACAGACATACAGACTAATGGAATCGAATAGAAAATCCAGAAATAAACCCACAGATTTATGGTCAACTAATCTTTGACAAAGGAGCAAAGACTACGCATTGAAGCAAAGAAAGTTTGTTCAATAAATGGTGCTGGGAAAACTGGGTCGCTACATGCAAAAGAATGAAGCTTGACCACTACCTCACACCATACACAAAAATCAACTCAAAATGGATTAAAGAACTAGACATAAGACCTGAAACCATAAAATACATAGAAGGAAATATAGGCGAAACACTACGTGATTTGCACATCAAAGACATCTTTACAGACACATCACCCAAAGCAGTGATAGTGAAGGCAAAGATAAACAGCTGGGACTACATCAAATTAAAGAGCTTCTGCACAGCAAAAGAGACAATAACAAAAACAAAGAGAAACCCCACCAACTGGGAGAACATTTTTGCACCCAACACTAATGATAAAGGACTGATCACAAAAATCTGCAAAGAGCTGATGAGACTCAGCAACAACAAAGAAAATAATCCAGTCAAAAAATGGGCAGAAGAGCTAAAAAGAAACTTCTCTGAAGAGGAAATGCAAATGGCCAACAGACATATGAAAAAATGTTCAACATCACTTGTAATCAGGGAAATGCAAATCAAAACTACCATGAGATACCATCTCACACCAGTGAGAATGGCACATATTAAAAAAACTAGCAACAACAAATGTTGGCGAGGGTGTGGAGAAAAAGGAACTCTCCTGCACTGTTGGTGGGAGTGCAAACTGGTCCAACCACTATGGAGAGCTGTGTGGAGATTTCTGGACCTACTAAACATAGAGCTTCCATATGATCCAGCAATTCCACTCCTAGGTATTTACCCAAAGGACACAGAAACATCAATTCCAAAGAGCACCTGCACCCCTATGTTTATAGCAGCACTGTTTACAATAGCTAAGCTTTGGAAACAACCCAAATGCCCAAAAATAGATGACTGGATCAAGAAGATGTGGTCCATATACACCATGGAATATTACTCAGCATTCAAAAAAGATAAACACATGCAATTTGCAGCAACATGGATGGTGCTGGAAGGGATCATGCTCAGCGAAATAAGCCAAAAAGAAAAAGAAAAATACCGGATGGTCTCACTCATAACAGGAATCTAGAAAACTTAAATAAGGGACCAGGAAAATGAATATAAGAAAGTGAAAATCAAAATCAACAAAAAACTATGAACCAGAGACACTTTTTGGGGGGTGGGGGGCGGGAGGGGAAGGATTGGGGTCAGAATGGGGCGTTTGCAATTGTATGGGGGAATATAAAAATAAAATTTATTATTAGAAAAAAAAAAGAGTTTTACTTCATTATTCACATAAGAATACATGGTGGTCATTAAAAATATAAAATTTACAAAGTAAAAAGCAAAAGTACCCCTCCCTTAAGGCCACCAACCTTTTACATCATAGTTATAGCCTCCTCACACTCATGGATTTACAGGTTTTGAGATTTTATGATACAGATTTTTTTTTTTCCTGAGTAGAAGAACTGGGGTGTAATCCAGAGCTGGTGGTGGGGTGGGGTGAGAGGATTCTCCAGAGACAGAGTGGGGAGCAGAACTGGTAGACTTCGTGAAATACACAGAAAGGGAGCAGCAGGCGAGACAGGAGAGGTCTGCTGTGCCATGTGGGTAACTCCCTGGCCGGAGATCCAGCTTGTGCTGCAGTAGCTGCAGACAGCTTCATAGTGCTGAGACTTAACCCTTTGCACCACCAGGGAGGCCCTCTTTGCCTTCTTAGCAATGTGTTTTGATGTATAGAAGTTTAGTTTTGAAGAAGTTAAATAAATTTCTATTTTCTTTCATTGTTTGTGCTTTTGGTGTCTTCTCTAGCCACCCACTGCCAAGTCCAAGGTCGTGGGGATTCATCCCTCTATTTTCTTCTAAGAGTTTTATGGTTTTGATTCTTACCTGTAAGTGTTTGATCCATTTTAAGTTAACTTTTATATATGGTGTAAGGTAGGGATTCAGATTCATTATTTTGCTGTGACTACATTTGTTTCAGTGTCATTTTTTGAAAAGACTGCTCTTTCCCTTATCAAATGGTAGTGGAGTGTATGCTTCATTTTTGGACTCTGCAGTTCTGTCGATAGCCATACGCTAATCTTATGTTTGTACCACACCCTCTTGATTACTGTTGTTTTATGCTAAGTTTTGAAATTGGGATGTGTGAGTCCTGCACACATCTATTTCAAGATGTCTTCTATTTATATTTCAAGATTCTTTTGATTATTCTGGGTCTGTTGCAATTCCGAATGCATTTTAGGATTAACTTGTCGGTTTTACAAAGAAGCCAGTTGGAATTAGATAAGGGTACGTCGAATCTAGAGAGTCAGTTTGGGGAGTTTGCCATGGAAAAATGTTTTTTTCCACTTATTTAGCTATTTTTAATTTTTTAAGTATTTCATAGTTTTCCGAATATAAGATCTCCACTTCATTTGTTAAATTTATCGCTAAGTATGTTACTCTTTCTGTGGGCATTGCACATGGAATTGCTTTGTTAATTTCATTCTTGTGATATATCTGTGTATTTTTAATGCTCAGGTTTTATATGTCCTTTGTTCCCCCAAATTCTGCCTGAGCATCCCAGAGCATAATACCTCTGGGATTGTTCTGGTCTCTGGTTGTTCAGGGATGAACAAAAACATTGGAATATGAGATTCTTGATGCAGAGACTGGTCTCCTGCAATGAGCTCACCAGTCTGACCACATGCTGATGGCTTTGTTGCAGGGTTTTTTGGAGGAGACCTCGCTCTTTTATGGACATTACACCATTGATGGGGTGAAATTTTACAACTTCACCTATGATCTGCCCCTGGCTTATTTATTAAGCACAATTGTCTACCTAGCCCTCAGCCTTCTTTGGATTGTGAAAAGGTAAGTTTATCTCATTACATTATTTTTGATGGCTGAAGTCTGTTGGCGGTGCCTGGACTGGGAGTCACTGCCTAAGAAATGGGCGGGTGCAAGGGAAGACAGGTGAAGGTCTTGGCGCTGGTCCTGGTGATGTGTAGTTATTTATTAAATTAAAATTGTTGTCATTGACTTTGCCCCAGTTCTGCTACTAACTCTGGATCTAGGGAAATAATGTTCCTTCTCTGGACCTTAGCTTTCGCATCTGTAAAATCAGAGGTTTTCAACAGGGCGGGACTTTGGAATCTCCACTGAGCTTTATGACATAACTTATTTCTGATCCCCTGAGACCTACTAAATTAATAGCCTCAGAGTGCCATTTCTCAGGGTAAACAAGTGGTTTAGTGGGACATAATAAACAGCTCTTCGCAGAAGTACAGTCTACATTTTGGTAAAGCACCTCAGGTGCATCTGCTAAATTCTTGGCTATGAACCTTTGGCAGAATGAATAATCACTATAAATCCTTCCAGTTTTATTGCCTTCACAGCTTACTGGCAAATCCTAAAAATATCCTGTTTCATCTACAGGGTGTGTGGCATTTGATGTATATATATCAAATGTCAAATGAAAGCCCACATTATGGGCCAGGCATTTCAGTTTACAAAGGTGACAAAACAACAAGGCTACTTGCCCTTGAGGAATTAAATACTTTCTTTTTTAAAAATTGTTTTAATTTATTGACTGATAGAACTGGGGTATAGGCCAGAGGTGAGAGGATTCACCAGAGTCAGAGTTGGGAGCAGAACAGGCAGACTGACTGAAATAACACTGCTGAGGAGAGCAGCGGGCGAGACAGGAGAGGTCTGCTGCACGGCTCCCTGGCTGGGCGTCCAACTCAGGCCGTCACCATGGGCCGTTGCGGTGATAGCACTGAGATTTAACTCCTAGGCCACCAGGGAGGCCCGGAATTTAAAATTAAGTAAGAGTCAGGGACTACAGCACTAAATGTTTGCAGTCATTGCTGTGGAGGAAATAAGAGAGACTAACTTGAAGTCGGAGGACTCACAACTAGGGGTGCAGTCGTAGGGAATTTGTGGAGGGGATATCTGAGCTGAGAGCTAAAGGGTAGGAAGAGGCAGGGGAAGAATTGTCCCAGGAGAGGGTAGGGGGAGAATTTCACGTGCAAAAGCTCTGAGGCAGGAGCAGAGGCTTGTGTGTTTATGGAAAGGATAATAAGGCCCCTGTAGTTACAGCAGACTGGCCCTGTGCAGGAAAGATGGTGTCACATCGGATCCCGCAGGGCTGCAAGGTTGCATTAAAGAATTTAGCTTTTATCCCAGCTGTGGGAGGAGCCACGGGATGGGTGAAAGCAAGTCATTTTCAACAGTGAGATACCTGCTAGTGGCCACATACCTCTAGAATTGTCCAGCCATTGACCATGCCAGCCTGCAGCCTTTTGAAACTTTTTTGAGACCAGGCCAATATTTTGCGAAGGATCACATTGTTTTGGGCACAGGTCTGTGGAAGGGTTCAAATACAACCTGATCCGGAGCGAGGAGCACTTCCAGAGTTACTGCAACAAGATCTTTGCCGGCTGGGACTTCTGCATCACCAACCGCAGCATGGCCGAGCTGAAGCACAGCAGCCTGCGGTACGAGCTGCGAGTGAGTGTGGGGGCTTCCTCCGAGGGGCTCCTTGCCAGCAGGCTTGAGCCTTAGGGTGAGGTGCGGGCCTGCTCTCCTCAGCGCTTAGCAGGTTTCCCCTACGTCCCTTCGAGCTCTTTCCGCAGAGCATAGCTGCTTGAGCTTGATCACCGTAGGCCCAGGTGTGGAGCCTGGGAACCGGGGCTGGGAAGGGAGGCAGAGACATGACATGGTGGGAACAGGTGGCGGCTTCCCTCCTCCCTCTGCACCTTCTACTGTGGTTTTTCTACTTGATGAGAATTTGTCCTCCATTGCTTATCTCAGGAGGAATAGGACTGGGGAGGGAAGTTCTGGTGATAAGGTGGAGTGGAGCGAATACAAAATAGAAGAGACTTTCCTAGTGAATAAGGAGAGAAGTGATCAGTAGCTTCTTGAGCAAATCTGCCCCCAAGGAAGGGGCAATTATAACATCAGATGGGGGATGGTCACCAGTGTGTCTGTTTAAAGAAGCAGTACGTGCGCCATATAAGTAACGGCATCAGTCATTAGGGCTCTATTTTCCACTTATTGCAAAGTAACTACATTCTTAAATAGGAGGTTCTGCCTTGACTTAGACCTTTAGTAAACATGAAAGTACCTGGGCTTAGTCTGGGAAGGTATCTTGAACGAGATGAATATTTAAGGAACATCTTAAAGATGCCTGGGAAGGAGGGGGGGGGCTGAATCATAGGTTCTCCACCCCAAGAATCACAGTGCATTTTTGTTGATCCTCAGGCAGATCTGGAGGAAGAAAGAATACGGCAGAAAATAGCAGAAAGGACCTCAGAAGAAACCATAAAGATTTACTCCCTAAGACTGTTTTTGAACTGTATTGTCCTGGCTGTGTTAGCAGCTTGCTTCTATGCCATCTACAGAGCCACTATATTCTCGCAAGAGCACATGAAAAAAGTCAGTGCCTCATGAAAATCTATTGAACTTTCCCTGGTGGTGGGGCTATTTTTAAGTACCATTGCAAACCTCCAAGGCAGGTAGATACCAGCCCTCTTTCTCTTTGTCATATGGGGCTGTGACTTTGGCTGATGTGACGGAGACCTAAAAATCAGAGGTGATCAATTTCCACTTATAATAGAAACAAAAATGCATCCAAAACAGAGTTTAAGATACCCACTCCTCCTAGTATTCACAGCATTCAAATCCAGGCTGGACTGCCTGAATTACTAAATTCTAACTCCTCTACTTACTATCTGCAGTCTCAGTTGAACTAAAAAACACAGTGGTTTTTTAAAATCCAAGTTGGTCTAGGGGCTCTGATCAATACAACTAGGGACCCAGGTCCCTTCCACCTGTGGCTCTGCCATCCTGAGGGGGTGCCTTCTGTAGATGTTGCATGATATCTCCCCATATCCATGTTCTAGACAGTGGGAAGAAGCTGAAGGATGTGGGGGAACACAAAAGCTTCTAGGGCATGACCTGGAGGTTGCACCTAAAACTTCCACTTACATCCCTTTGGCCAAAATGTAGTCAGATGGCTGTGCCTAGCCACAGGCCTTCCAGGGAAGCCTGGAAATGCAGTTTAATCCTTGATATCCATATATTTATGTGGCTACATTGTCTATTACTATGAAAGAAGAGAAAATGGCTATTCTAAGTGAATTAGATAATTTAAATAGTTTAAATTATCTATTACAGTGACTACATAGATTCATTTGTCATGCAACTTTCCTTATTTACTCCTGACAAGTTTTGTTCTCTCCATAGGAAATTGACAAGATGGTTTTGGGAGAGAACCTCTTAATAATGTACCTGCCTTCTATTGTGATCACCCTGGCCAATTTTATCACCCCCATGATCTTTGCCAGGATCATCTACTATGAGGATTATTCCCCAGGCTTTGAGATCCGGCTGACAATCCTTAGGTAATGCCTGCACATGTCAAGCACACCACACTTGCCTACTCCCTTGCCTGTGGCAGACATTACTAATCAGTAGTGATACATTTTCCTGCTGAGCCAAGAATCCTCTTCAACCTTCAGGCAGCCCCATGAGTGAATCAGAGTTTGCATGTGATTCAAAATCTTATTGACTTGACTGCTCATCAGTATTATACTTTTGGTTCATATGTTAGCACATGAAAGCTGAGGGTGTGAGGTGGGGCCCAAGGAGGCGGCATTGCTCAGAGATATTAGAAATAACTGCTGTGTACCAGCAGGAGAGAGAGGAAGTGAGAGCAGGGCACACAACTGATAAAGGCGTGTTGGTGAGTAAGTTGCTACTGTTGGCTACTGGGTTGTGGTCTAACTGGGAAACTGTGAATCTTGTGTGGAAAATATCTTCAGTTTTCACCCAACCTATGGGTGGCCGTCTCCCAGAGGCGTTAGCTCCCAGTTCTTCCACCCCACTACCCTCAGGCAGGGGCATGGGGAGGAGAGTTAAAAGTGCCTGCAGTAGAAGCCTGCAGTAGTAGTAGTCATACCCCGGAATGTGGCCAAGTCACCAATTGTGTGTGCTACAGTTGACTTTTTGTAATCTGTTCTCAAAGCTTTTACTCTAAATAAATACTCAGTCTCATTAAAAAAAAAAAAAAAAAAAAAAAGGCAGGAGTAAAGCAGGGTCCAGGTAGTTAACACAAACATGTGTGCTGAGCACCAGACACAAGCCTGGAGAATTTTCTTTCTGCTTATCAATTGCCTCAAATTGCATCTGCATCTTTTTTAGAAAAACCTTTTGTTTGGAAATTTTCAACAGAATGAATGGTTCAAAGAACCGGTTTCCTTCAGAAATTAAGTTAGTTGAAGTAATAATATCCATCACTTCAAGTATTACCAACATTTTGCTGATCTCATCTCATCTACTCCCTCCTGCCACTTTTGCTGGATTTTTCTAAGCAAATCTCAGGCAACATGTCATCGCACATGTAAACTTTTCACTACCGATGTACGTACAGATCTGTGTGTGTGTTTTATAAATATCTCTTATTTATATTTTTTATTGCAGTAACATAGGTTTATACTTCTATCTGTAATTCAGAGGTGTAGGATCTATTTCCAGATATATGTCACCACACTACTCCCACCACCAAGGCAGCCATCACCCTCCATCATAGTCCACTGGGCCTTCTCCCCACTTTGCTCTCCACTCTCCCCCTATCCCTCTGGTGCCTCAAGTCTGTTGTCAGATTTCTGGGGTTTGTCATTGATTTGGTTTTGTCTGACCCTTTTGTTTCTCTAGATTCTATATATACCACATGAAACTATCTGGTATTTGTCTTTCTCCTGACTTATTTCACCTAGCATCCGGTTTCATCCAGGTTGTTGTCAATGACAAAAACCATCTTTTTTATAGCTGCATAGTATTCCACTGCATAGATATGCCACATTTTCCTAACCCACTCATCTGTCCTTGGTCACTTAGATTGTTCCCGTTATTGTAAACAGTGCTACAATGAACATAAGAGGACTTATCTCCTTTGGAATGAGTGTTTTTTGCATTCTTCTCCCAGATATCTAGTACTGGAATTGACAAGGGCCTTTTAAAAAACATAACCGTTACCACACCTAATAAAGATCACTTCCTCGGTGGCATTGCACATGGTTTGTTCAAATCAGAATCCAAAAAATGGTGTAGCCTTGACTGTTCTCTTAAGCCTGTTAGCTTCTTTTAAGAATCCCCCTCCTTGTGTGTTTTGCCTTTGATTTGTGGGAAAAGCTGGGGAATTTGACCCCTAGAATGCCCTGTCCTTTGAATTTTAGTTCATTGTGTCTTCCTGGGGTGTTTGGTTTTTCTGTACCCTGTGGTCAGTGTGAACTGCCTTGCTGCTGCAGACTTCTCATTAGATTCCGTTTTAGTGTTCAGTTATAGCCTTCAGTGGTGTTGGGACCTCATGACACCGGAAGGTGGCAGGCTCAGTGACGAGAGAGGAGCAGATGGTGTGGGTTTGCTCCTCCCACCCCCCCCCCACACTGCTGAATGTGTCTGCTTTAATTTCAATTACAAACCAAAGAATAGAAGAAACATCTTTTAAAACATCGGAGAGCTCCCAGCCCTCCTCCCTTGCACTTGGCCTTCTTGGGCGACCCTCATTGCAACTTCTGTTGCTATTGTCAGTTTTCCCACATTTCTTTAAAAATAGGATCACATCTACTCAACTCTGCTTGGACTTTTTTCACTTTCCAATGTATCTGCTGTGGCTCGAAGCTGAAACCTGTGAAGTTCAGTGAGTTCTTTCCAGGAATGAGGCATGTTCTGTGCTGTGGCTGTGTTGTCATGGGTTCAAGAGTGCCCAGTTTTCTTACCTTTTTCCTGCCATTAAGAAAAAAAAGATAAATATGTACAGGCATAAGCTTTACCATAGACACCATTTTTAAGTGTGCCATTCAGTGACATTAAGTACATTCCACATGTCCTGCCTTTATCACCACCATCATTTCTAGAACTTTCTCACCATCCCATATAGAAATGCTGTTACCCATTTGTGGGTTTGCTTCTAAGAAAGGTGGCTTCTCTGCTCTGCAGCCCCAGTTCTGGGGTCTGGGCCCCCCATCTTTTCCCTCCTTCCCTGCAGGTGTGTCTTCATGCGGCTGGCCACCATCTGCGTGCTGGTGTTCACACTGGGCTCTAAGATCACTTCCTGTGGTGACAGCTCCTGTGAGCTCTGCGGCTACAACCAGAAACTCTACCCGGTGAGGCTGCAGGGATGGGAGCATCCTGCTGGGTATGTTATTTTGGAGAATAGGCTTAGCAGCAGGAGAGCAGAGCGTGGAGCCATGAGTTTGAATCCCAGGTGACCCACTTCTGGCCTTGCAATGGAGTCCCTTTTCAGGGCTTGAGAACCAGTCTGTGCTGTGGCATCGGGGCCTACCAGCTGGTGATCAAACCAGAGGCAGCAGGATCTGGGGCAAGAAAGGGCGTTGGGAGGAGTTTGAGAACCAGACTTTCTCTGCCAGTTGGGTCTCACTCTCTCTCTCTCTCTCTCTCTCTCTCTCTCTCTCGGGTTTCAGTGCTGGGAGACCCAAGTTGGGCAGGAAATGTACAAGCTTATGATCTTTGACCTCATCATCACCTTGGCTGTGACCCTGTTTGTGGATTTTCCTAGAAAGTAAGTATGAGAGGTACCCCTCTTGTCTCCCCCACCTCCACTGGGGACCGCCAGCATCTCTGTAAAGTGCTGGGTGAGTCCCTGAAACCCCCAACACCACCCAGTGACTTGCAGGTAGCTGCAGACAGGTTGACCCCATCGTGAATTAGGTGTCTCCTTGAATGAAAGGCAGTAAGGGCGAGGGTTCCGTGGGGACGACTGCTTGCCATTAGCATAGCTGTGGACCCTGACAGGGAACCTCCCAAGCTGGACGCCCAGTGTCCTGATCTGGCTTCAAGTCCAGCACTGTCTCTTGCTAGTCATGTGGCCTCGCACAGGGTCTTTAAGCTCTGAGCCTGTTACCTCACCTGGGAGAGTAGCAGCACCACCTCCTGGCTCTCAGGTGAGGATTCAATGAAAATGCAGGTGAGAGCACTGCGAGACCCAGGCTCACCGCATGGCTGAGCTGCCGTGCTTGTTTGCCTCTGCGTCTCCTTGGGTCCCAAGTGAGACCACTTCATCACCCTTTTTTACTCAAATGGACCGATTATCCCGGCACAACGCAGCTGCAGTCAGCCTTAAAAAGAAATATTTAAAACAGGATTTAAATAAATGTTTAATTTAAAAATAGCACAAATATGACATGAATACATGCTTGTTAAAGAAGTAAAAGTATTTAGAATCGAAATACAGAAATCTCTAGTGTGTCTGTAGACTGTTGTCTCTCGTTACCACACCCCCTAACTCCCAGTCCCTCCTGCTCTCAGAGGGGATAGCCATTACTACTATTTCCAGTGTGGGGTAGATCCAGCTTTCAGGGCAACTAAAAGCACACCTTTGCACACGTGCACGGTGTACACAGTCTTGTTGGAAGTGTTCTTTTTCTCCCTCTTAAATGAGATCACGGACTTACAAGTTGCTGTACAGCCGGCTTCCCCCCAAACAGTATCACGAACAACTTTCCATATCAGGACAGGTTTTGAAGGCTATATAATACTCCACTGTATACATGGCTCATAATTTGTCCCTACATTGTGAGCAGTTAGGTGGTTTCCAGTATTCTTGCTTCAGTGAACACCCATCATTCCTCTCAGACTCATGGTCCTAGGGGCCCTATAGGAATCTTCCAAGCTCCTGGGACATGCATGTGAGGCGGATTTTCTGTATGGATACACATTGCTTTTTGGACTGAGTGGCAAGTTAGAGCACAGGGGCTGCCTGTGTCCTTTATTGCCATTGTGACCCAATGAAGGAGCTGGTGGTATAATCCCCCACATTCCAGGTGAGAAAAATGAGCTTTGTCTCACTTTATTTGACTCATAAACTGTAGCCCCGAGATGGGATGCTGGTCTTAGTGATTCTAGAATTTCCCGTGTCCTGTATTTTCTGGACTTACCACTCACTAGCTAGTTTCCCCAGAGATAATGGCTGTGTGGACTTTGTAGGCATGGATTTATAGACATGGTTCTGTGGCCTCGACAGACACGGGTAGCCCAGGGGAGAAATTGTCCTGTTTGTTTCCAGGCTCCTGGTGACCTACTGCTCCTCTTCAAAGCTGATTCAGTGCTGGGGCCAGCAGGAATTTGCCATTCCTGATAACGTTCTAGGGATTGTTTATGGGCAAACCATTTGCTGGATCGGAGCCTTTTTCTCACCCCTCCTCCCTGCAATTGCAACCTTGAAATTCATTGTCATCTTTTATGTGAAAGAGGTAAGGAGAGGAGGTGGGGCAGGGGATGGTGCAGGGGATGGTACCCTGGACTGTTCTTGACTGGCATTTGGCACTCACTCCTGTTGGGGGGGACACTGCTACTTCCCATCAGACATACCAGAGTCATCCCCCTCATTTGACGTGTATTTTCATTCTGGAGAAGACTGTGAATGGGTTTTCACATTCTGATCATTTCCAGAGTTATGTTCAGATGAATTGTTTCCTTCCTGTGATTTATTTATTTATTAAAGATTTATTTATTTATGCGTGCAAGAGCTGGGGTACAGGCCAGAGTTGCAGGGGGTGAGAGCTTTCACCAGAGACAGAGTGGGGAATAGAACCGGCAGACTGACTGAAATACACTGCTGAGGGGAGCAGCGGGTGAGCCAGGAGAGGTCTGCCCCGCTATGTGGGTTGCTCCCTGGCTGGCCGGGGATCGAACTCGTGCTGCAGAGGCTGTGGATTGCTTTATAGTGTGGTGCTTATCCCCTTGCACCACCAGGGAGGTCCCCTTCCTGTGATTTAAATGGGTTTATATGTCATTGCCTAAGAGTTGAGTTGCATGGATTAATCAGTGGACAGGTATATTTTGGTGCCGTTTAACAATGTTGCTTGATTCAAGTTTTTGACTTTCTGTTGGGATTTGGAAGCCAGTCCATTATGTGTCAGGTTGAAGTTATCCATGCAGGTCCTTGACTGGCTCGCAGGCCCCAGCCACTGTATTGAATTCTGCTTAGTGGGTGAAGCGGCCCTGTCGTGAGTCATTCATCTGGTTTATTTACCAAATTTTTTTTTCCTTTATTACAGAGGCAAAATATGCTTACTATTAAAAATATACACAATATAGATATGTAGAGAGTAACTTTTCACACACGCCTTCTATCAGAGGGCCCTCTGTTAGCTAGCCCAACATTTATTGATTACCTAGTATGCTAAGATCTAAAGATTCAGAAATGGAACTAATATCAGTGATAATGACAATAATAACAGTGAATGATAATACCGTGTGCCCCTACAGTGCTGACAACATATAGAGATAATTGTGTAATGCTTACACTCACCTTTTGAAGTGGATCCTGCTATTAACCATACATAATTTATGAATTAGGACCCTGAAATTCAGAGAGGTTAAGTAACTGCTCCAAAGTCAAACAGCTTATAAGTGATTCCTGGGATTTAAACCCTGGTTTACCTCACTCCAGAGCCTAAGCTCATAACCTGGTAATCAGGGCCTTGAACTTTGGTCCAGTTTTGTACCTAAATGTTTTGGTCTTTGAGGAATGTTTTGATGCTCTCTTGGAAACTTCACTTGACTGGAGTCAGAAGGGAGAGATGGATGCAAGAAAGCTCACAAAACATTTCCCGTGTCCAAAAGTGTTGGTGCATGCAAGACCATGCTCCATTTTCCTTCTGGAAGCTGCCCATCACTCTTCATTTTCCTCTTTCTCTTCCCGCCAGATGAGTCTTCTGTATACCTGCAGACCCTCCCCAAGGCCGTTCAGAGCGTCCAATTCTAATTTCTTCTTCCTGTTGGTGTTGTTGATTGGGCTGTGTTTGGCAATAATACCTTTGACGATCAGCATGGCCCGGTAAGTGTGATTTTGTTTTCTAGAACATTCCATGCTTCCTGATACATGCCTCCTTTTGGCTAAAGCGTTCATTGCTTTCTTTACTGGCCAATTTCATCACCCCCATTGCTTTCTTTACTGGCTGACCTCATGGGTTCCCACCCCAGAGGGTAGGGCATTGCTCCTGGCTTAGCCGGGTCACCTTTGTTTAAGTCCCCGACACTGGGGTATCTCAGTCCCCTTGCAGGCTTGGACTCAGAGGGTTGCCATAGTTTATGAGGGTGTGGTTTGGGTCTGTCCTGCAGCTCCACTTTCCTTGGACGACTCCTCTGGTCCTCATTTGGGTTGTTTCTAGTTATGAAGATAATACTTGGTTATTATAGAAAATTGGGAGTGTCTCCCACTTGTCGGCCCAGTCCTGGGCTCTGGCACAGGAGGGCAGAGTCTAGCGTGGACTTTGAAAGGAGCACAAATGCTCTGAATTTAGGATTAGAAGTGAAGGATTCAGAACCCAGGGATGCTTTTCTCTGCTGGGGTAACCATGTATGCCAGAGGCAGGAAAGCGTTTTCTGTAAAAGCAAGAGTATAGTAAATAATTTGGGTTTTCCCAGCCTTGTAGTTTCATTAGTAAACTCTTGAAACCCTACTGATGTGTCACAAAGCAGCCATAGATGCTACATAAACGAACAGACATGACTGTACTAATAAAACTTCATTTATAAAAAACAGGCAGTAGACTAGGCTTGGCCCTTGAACTATATGTAGTTTGCCAATCCCTGATTTACACACTTAGGGAATTTTGTTTCTTTGATGTTAAATTAAAAGCCTGAAATTCAGCTTGACACGCTCAGATTTTATTATTTTTTAAACTAATTTGCATCTATGTATTTTTTATTGTTTTTATGATAACATCTTAAAACCTCAAACAGTCCAGAAAAGTAAAAATTAAAGGGAAAAGCGTACCCTCTTACCTCATCTCTTAGTGTCCTGCCTCTGCAAAGGTAGCTACTGTTAACATTTTCTTGTGAATTCTTCTAGAAATTCATTAAGATAAATACAGATTTTTTTAGAGTACAGCATAATGCTATAACCCTGTTTGGCCACTTATTTTTTCCTTGTCAGCATATACACAGCTCTTAACTCTCTGACAATATTTTTTTAGTTTTGATTTTTCTGTAAATGGCACAAAATTCAAAACGTATAAAAGAACGTGGAGAAAATTCATTTTCAATTCTGTTTTCCCACTGCTTCATTTCTGTCGGGGTGAGATAGTCGTTTCTTATCTATGTGTTCCTTTAGCATTCCATTGAGTGAATGAACTATAAATGTTCATCCATTTTCTTAAATAACATTTAGGCTGTTTCTAGAAATTTTCTTCTGTCCCTAAAATTAGGACTATAGTGACAAATCTTGTATACACAACTTTGATGTGAATGTAGCCAATTTTTTTTCAGGCTTTTATTAAAATGTTTCTATTGTAATTAAAAGTTTTTCCTCTTTTAATTTGAAAAAATTCAAATCTCTAGAAAAGGGAAAGAGATAACAGCAATAAAAATTCATGTGCCCTCCAACTGGCTGTCCCAGTTGTTAACATTTTGCTGGCTTGTCTTCTTTCTCCCTGGCCATACATTTGCATGTGGATGTGCTATTTAAATTAAGTTGTAGGTGCTGTGGCAATTCATCCATATGTACTTGAGCACACAGCACCTAGAAATAAGGACAGTCTCCCTTCCTATGTGGCCACAGTGATATTACATTTAAGAAAATAATGCTGTATTCCTGCCAATTTCAGATTTCTCCATTTGTCTTCAAATAGTCTTTACAGCTTTATTGTAAAGATGAGGATCTCAAGGTTTACCCATTGTTTCCAGTTATTATGTCTCCTTAATCTCTTCTGATCTTTACTTTTTCAAAGTGTTCACACGAGCTTCCTTACCTCTACATTAAGAGCCTGGAGAATCAAACACCTCACATTCTGGAATTGTCTGATTATTTTCTCATAGTATCATGTAACTTGCTCTTCTGTCCTAAATGTCCCATAAGCTGGGAGTCCATAGAGATTTGGTGAAACATCAGGGGAGGCGTTTCAGGAATATTCCAGAAGGCCCATGAGGTCAAGTGGTTCCTTGCTGGGTCCCATAGAGCATTGGGTGCAGGGAGGAGGGATGTCCAGCCAAGCCTCACACCTCGAGTGTCGCCCCCTGGGTCTGTGTCCCTGCAGCATCCCTTCCTCAAAAGCCTGTGGACCGTTCACCAACTTCAACACCACCTGGGAGGTCATTCCCCGCACGGTGAGCACGTTCCCCAGCTCGCTGCAGTCGCTGGTGTACAGCATCACGTCGGAAGCCTTTGCGGTGCCCTTCTTCATGATCATCTGGTGAGTGGCTTCCGGCTGGATCCTGTGTTTCCCGCTGACATGCATCAGCTCCCCTCCACTGGGCAGCTTTGTAGCCCGGCGCTCAACCACTGCGCCACCAGCGGAGGCCCTACTAGCTCCCCTCCACTGGGAAGTCAGGGGCCCCCTGCTACACTTGTACAGTTACTGAACCTCTCCAAGCCTCCTTATCCAGCTCCAAAGTGGACACCAGCATCATAGTCCTTGCAGGGGGTCCGCTGTTTCACAGAGCTCCCACCCGGAGGTCACTTAGCCCAATACCTTAGAAACGCCCAGGAAGCTTTGCCTGTTACTGCTCATTCGTCACTAAGTCACTTACTCTTTGGAAAAAGAACTGCTTACCGGGCAGAGGGAAGAACACCTGAATAGGGCATGCACTTGACCCCTGCTCTACCACTTAGATGCTCCGTGACCTTGGGTCATTCTGTAGTGTCTCTGAGCCTTAGTTTCCTCCCGTGTAAAGTGGGGGTAAAAATGGTACATACTTTGTAGGGCTGTGAGGAGGAAGAGTGATGATGCCTGTGACGTGCTCAGCAAGTGACAAGTGTTGTGTTGGGGAGAAGACAGTCTTTTCTACATGGTGGTTTCATTTCCAGAATCCAAGTGTGTGTGGCGTGCTCGCTATGTGCTAGGCATTGTCCTGGTGACAGGTGATACTCAGTACTCATGCATTCTGATTGCAAATGTACCTAGTCACTAAAATACTTGTGTAGTCCCAAAATCAGTACTTGGAGGGGTTTGCCTAGTCATTTGTGAACATGCAGAGTAGTGAAGCGTTTGAGTTCTCCAACCTACACTGTCTTTGTCTGGGTACTCAACAAAATGTCACAGAGCAGGTGGCTTGAAAAAAATAGACACTTCTTTTTTGAAGTTCCAGAAACTGGAAGGCCAAGGTCAGGTGCCAGTGTGGGTGGTGGGGGCCTCTTGTCTCCTCACAGAGCCAGGCACTAAGCCCCTTCCTCGGGGCTCCACCCGGTGACCTAACCAGTTCCAAGGGCCCCCTTCTCTTATATCATCACACTGGGGGCAGGATTTCAACATGGTGATTAGGAGGGGATGCAGACATTAGTGCCCAGCACACAGTCCCCAGTGGAGGCTGAGCGGCCCCGTCCTTGTTCTTGTTTGTCTCGTGTACTGTGAACAAGCGTTCTTCACCGTGATTGGTTAGAGCCACATTTCTGCCATTCTGTGCTTTTGGCTGGTGATTGACTTCGCTGTTGTCATGGCCCCCAGCGTAGCGCTGAGATGCTGGCAGGTGTTCCTGCAAGCAGGGGATGGGCTTCACGGAGAAAATGTGTCCCATGAGCTTCCTGCAGGCAAGAGTAACAGGTTTGGGCACCATTTGAATGAATTGACCAATACTATAAAAGAAGGTGCATTAAGCCAAAAGTAAAACTCTCCCAAGTAAACATATCGAGGTATTTTTCTAGTGGCCTTGAGACCCCCTAGTGACCTCTGCTCCTTGCATTGCAGCCTCATCATGTTCTACTTCATCGCCCTCGCCGGGGCCCACAAGCGCGTGGTGGTCCAGCTCCGAGAGCAGCTGTCCCTGGTGAGGAGGCACTGGCCCCAGGCTTGTAGCAAGGGACCTTTCCAGGACACCCAACAGAAAGTGGCACTTTTCCCAGGGAGGGGGTAGGAGGCTGTAGCTCCCCCCACTCCCTGACTGCCATCAGGCTGGGCCTCCTCCAGCGTCCTCCCTCCCTGACACATCTGTTCTTCACGTAGTGGACCCTTGCAGGACACAGGTGTAGGCTGTGCAGGTTCAAACTTCCATGCAAATTTTTTTCTACCTGCGAGCTCTGCTGTCATGGGTTCAACCAACTGAGGTGACTCCAGATGCCTGCATTTGAGCATTTGTGGGTTTGAGTCAAGGGGGAGGGGTCCTGAAGCCAATCTCCCGGGGGCACCAGGGGATGACTAGCTAAGTTGTGGGGAATCTGAAGTGACTGGATTTTTCTACTGCATCAGGACCAGCCCCCCTAACCCCCATGTTCAAGGGTCTGCTCTGCTGTATTGGGGCTGGGGGCACACTGGTGCAGGAAGGAGGCAGGATTGCTAAATGGTTAGGGACAAAAGGTAAGTTCCCAGAACAACAACTGTGAGGAAGATAATGTAAGTGAGGCAGTTCAAGTGATGAGGGGCCCCCACTACTATGCCGACATCTTGGGGATACTACAGTTGGGCTCCAGGCCACCCCAAGAAAGTGAGAGCAACTCACATAAATTCATTGGTTTCCCCAGGACCTGTAAGTGTCGTCTACACTACAAGGTGGCCTGTTAAGTGTGTGTAGCCTTATGTCTAAAAACAAATCAACATATAGCTCTTTATTAAAAAATACTTTATTGCTGTAAAATGCTAACCACTCTCTGAGCTGTTGGGAGATGGCACCAATAGGCTTGTTCCATGCAGGGTGACCCCCCAGCTCCAGATTGTGAACAACACAGTACCTGTGGAGAGCAGTAGACGGGGTCTGCCTGTGCATGGTGGCCGCGGAAGGCCTCCTGGGGGAACGGATGCTGCAGCGGACACTTGCACCATGAGAAGAGAGGTCGCTTTTACAGCTACGGTTCAGGAGGAGAAACCTTTTATTTGGTCAAAGTGCATGAGGAATGAGGTGTGGCTGAGGGGCAGGATGAGGCTGCAGGATCAGTCAGAGCATAGCCTTAGGGCTCTGGTAAGAAGTTTGGGTCTAATTCTGAGTGCTATGAAAAGCTACTCCAGTGTGTTAACTAGAAGCCAGATGTGCATCTTAAACATCTCATTGAATGCTTTGGGGTCAAGGAACAGAGAAGGAACAAGAGTGACAGGGGACAGTTTGGAGGCCATTACAGCGTTCCATGTTAGGGTCCTGATGGCTGAGGCTGACAGGCAATTCATTAGGTCGAAATAATGATGTTTCTTTCCAAATATTTTTTTATTTCTGGAACCTGTTTCTTTTTTAGGAAAGCCGGGACAAGCGTTACCTAATCCAGAAGCTGACGGAAGCCCAGAAGGACATGAGGAGCCGACTAGAATGACCTGAAGATGCTGCTGCCTATTGTTTACAAGCTGACCTAGGGGCCTGCTGAGCCCACCTGGGTTTTGAGCAGGAAATTTTAAATATATTTTTCTGGAGTTCAGGCTTTTCCTAAAAAGTGACTTTCTCCATGCAGCTGTGGTAGGCATGTTTACGAAACCCAGCCCTATTTAGGGCTTGAGTGACTTAGAAAAAAGTGGGTTCAAACTCAGCTATCCTGTATGTCAACAGCTCGGTGAGGACTCCACCCAAGAGTGAACTTAGGAAGCGTTTACAGCAATGGTTCAGGAAGAGAGACCTTTTATTTGGTCAAAGTGCATGTGGCTGACTGTCTTATATGCTGTGGTCACTGACCGGGCAGCTGAGCCCTTTCTTTTGAACTCAGTTCTAGAGGCTTCGACTGAGATGTGAGCCTCACACGCGTACTGACCCATATGAATGGTTCTATAGACTTAAAATGATACTAGCTTTTTCATGTGAGGAGAAATTCTTGAATCCTGGTGTTTGAAACAGCTGGTAGGGACTTGGAGAACAGGGCTACGGAATTTCAGCTCCACGGTAGCACTCTGAGGAGACAGAAGCCCATTCGTGCCCTGTGCAGGAGCTGTCCCTGCATGCCCTGGATGAAGCTTGGGAGGATGGTGGCCTTATGTCCTTAGCTTTCTGGGCATCAGGCTGCAGCCTTATTTTTCAGGGGAAGCTGATTCAAAGGGCCTGGAAATGCACAGCTGTCAGCTTCCTCGTCCTGAGGTCTGAGCATTGACATAAGGCCAGTGTCAAAATTAAAGTGGAAATTATCTCAGTCTCCCAAATACAATATCCCTCCTGCATGAGGGCTTCATTTCCGGGAGACATTCCACATTTCAGAGGCAGACCGCAAGGTGTCTGAGCTGTGGGTTTTTGTACAGAAATGTTTGGGGGTGCAGGTTGCAGGCCCAGCCTAGGTTGGGCAAGTGCACCAAGTCAGCCTGAACGCTCCTTTCCTGCATGCACAGATCCATATTAAGGGCTGGTGTGTGTTTCTTTGTTCTTAAAATTTTTTTAACTGCACGTGCCTTTATTTTATAAAACATGCAGGGTGTCTTCAGACTTCCGTTATGGTTAAAACGGTATGCAGTAAATACCTCATCCTAAGCTTACCCCAAATTGATAGCTCTGAACCTTTAATATAAGCCTAACATCATTTGCTGTAATCAGTTATTTCATCATCTCAAGAATCTGTTTCAAAGTACTGTATAGTTTGGTAACAGACCAGTTTCTCTCTACTGTCTCTAAAATGTTCCTGGATTGTAGCTTGAAAGTTGAATGCAGATTTTAGAAAGCTCCCCACCCCACCCGTACTCCCCCATTACTTGAAAATGAGAGCAATGCTCGCTTTCCAGCACTAACACCTTTCTGTATGTTTGTCCTCTGCCAGGCCATTTTCTTGCTCTTCCACAAAGTTAACATGGGATATTTTTGTACTTGCAAGACTAAGGAGTTTTTTTAAGCTTTCCCTGGCTTGTTATGATTTATGAGCTTCTTGGTCTAATAATTAGTGCCACGGAATTTTGAGTAACTAATAGCTCATACCATAGTCACTGTAAAAAGTAAGTTCCAATTTTTCCACTTAGTACCTTTATATAAAATGTTCCTGCCTTTACGATGTCTGAGGTTTTCTGTGTGTGTGTGTATGACAGATAGAAAATAAATTTCCTTTCCCTGTTATAAAACTGATACTGTACTAACATGTTAGTTTTAGTTAAATGCTGCTACTTTGTGTACCTCTTATTTGAATGTTTGTATGTATTTTGATAACTTCAGGAAATATCTGCATAATTGTTAAAATGCAGCTCTAGCGAAAGTGCATTAAAACTACTGATTAAACAGTATCTTGAAGGTTTTAAAATGTGATGGTGTACATTTGAATTTCATGGAGGTTTCTTATCAGCGATCAAGTGATCATGGAACTCTCAATTTTGTCAAGTTACTCTGCCTTTTCCTAGAATCACAGAGAAGAAAAGCAGTAATGCAATCAGCACATGAGGGCTTTTACGATTCCTTAGCTCTGTTGAAGCCAAGGAGGGATAGATACATATTTTAAACTTAAAAGACAAAATTATTTCAAGCACTCCCCACCTCATGCTGCCTAGAGGGAACCACTGTTAATGATGTTGATTTTATGCTCCCAGAAAATTATAATATATTCAGGCAGATGATATATTTGTGGCTGTACGTGGGAAATATATATTTTTGAGCTTCTCCATTTTTCTCCTTAATATCTTGAAGATCTTTCCATATAAGTAGCCACCTCATTCTTTTTAATGGCTACATTCCATTCCACTGTGAATACAGACTTCCATAAACTCAGGCAGGATATTTAGCTTGTTTGTAGGATACCACCTCACCCCCCTTAAAAACACTGAAAGCTGGAATTTTCAAGTCTGAAAGCATTTCTCTCTTTCTCTGATCTGTCTCCATGTTGCTCCAGGGTCTAGTTCTTTATTAAGGCTGCCTTGCAAATCCTTGCAATCACAAAATATTCTCATCTCAGCAAAGAGAAAAATCCGGTTAGGTAAGTTTTTAGTTTGCATGAACTCTTAAGATGACAAAGTAAATTCTTGCAGCTACATATCTCATTACAGCTACCTACTTATGTAAGTATTAGAAACAAAAGGAATTAATCTTATCACAGTGGCACTGCAGGGCCTGATCCCTGAGAAGAGAGAACTTCTGAATGTACCTTTGTATACACATGTATATATATACCTTTATACCCATATATATAAGTATATATATACCTTTATACATAAACACACACATTATATGTGTGTAGGTACACCATACATATATATATATATATATATATATATATATATATATATGGCTGAATTAGCAAATTCCATTGGTAGATTTCTTTTCCAGTGCATGAGATATGCTTGGGACATGGGGTGGACTTGTTCCTTACTTGTGTTTTTTGCAAATGTCTTCACCTTTCTGAGATAAAGTTCCTTTATGTTTACCATGGAGAAAAAAAAATACAAATCACTTTTATTTTTGAGAACTGAATTCAGAAATAAGATGTTTTCTCTTGACATTTTGTTTTCTCATAAAAATTTTTTAAATGTAGGGACTGTTGAAAGCTACATAGGGAAGAGTAAAAGTTACTTAAAAGCAGTTTATGACATCCACTGTTAAGCTTGACAAAATTCCTTTTAAGATAGAAAGTACTAAGGGAGATGAGGATGGGAAGAAGGGAAAGAAAAACTATTTGGTAGTCACATTTCTCTTACTACGCTTTCTCATGTTATAGAAAGTCCTTTATGAACATTTCATAATGTTCATTACATTACAGATGATCATACAGATAACTTTTTTTCAATATTCTTGCTCCTTAACATTTTGTTTCTAAATTTTCCTGATAATAAATGACTAGGGTATCCATAAATCTGTCAACTTTTTTCTTTTTAGGAACAGAGATTTGTAAGTGGGGTTAAGACAGATTTAAGATATTTTAAAGCTTTTGAGAGCCAGATACACCCTCTCAGTAGCTTTACATGAGAATGTTAGACATCACTAAGTATGTGGGTTTAAAAAGCTATATAATAGTTCATAATATTAAAGTATTGCAGTGTGTTAAAGGAATTTGAAAACAACTAGTAACTTCAATTATTTTTACAATTTCAATTATTTTTACAATACATATGTGTATATATACATTCTGTATCTATCTATAAAGACACACATACACCAAGAATGTAAAGTAGGAAATGAAAACTTTCTTACAATCCCAATCCACTAAAGTTAACCAATATTAAACATTCTGTTACATATCCAGATACACATCTTTGATTTTTTGACCTCTTATACACACATTCAAAAAAATTTCTGCTGGATAGGTCCCTAGAAGTAGGATTGCTGTATCAGTGGATAGGCATCTTTTTTAAAGTGTCCAGTTATTTTCTTAAAACATTATGAACAAAAAGTTACTAGGTTCACAGCAAAATTGGGAGGAAGGTAGAGATTCTTACATACTCCCTCTTCTCACGCATTTAGAGCCTCCATTATCATATTCCCCAGAGAAGAACATTTGTTAAAAGTGATTCTCAATATTCACACCTCGGGTATGCGCTTTTGAAATATGGCATACATTTCTAAATCATCCTCCCTACCCAAAAAAATCAAGTTGCCCCAACATAGATGTACATCAACAGTGTATTTTGAAAAGTGTCCTAGAAAAATCTAAAAATAGAGAAAAGTGAGACATTACAGTTTGTCAGTCTCACTAGAGATACACTATCGACGATGTGGAGAATTTAATTTCAGCAATTCCTACTGTGCTAAAGTGGTTGACGGAAACAAAAACCCCTTTCCATGTTGGCAAAGCAGAATATACGATGGCTGTGCCAATAATGAAGTCCGTCACGGTCCTCCACCCTAAGAATTTGGGTGAGAAACCTTAACCCTTGAACCACTTAGCTTTCTCATTTCCATGGCAACCCAAGGCCCTCTCCTAGCGTCAGCTTCCTGAATGATTGCTATTGATCGTATCCAATAGAATCTCACCATTTGCCGCTTCCAACCAATAGAATGGAGGCGGGGGCCTAGGGGCGTTCCCACCGGTACAAGGGCGGGCAGTAGCGTCCTTACGTGCGTGCGTCATCAGTCTGTGCCAAGAGTACTTTTGGCCCAGTTCGCTCACGGGAGCGATTTCTCGCTAGCCGCGGCCATGAGCGGGGCCAGGGCTGGGGCGGCTCGTTCCCTGTGGCGGCTGCGCCCGGGCGCCCGGTGGCCCCTCTCAGGTAACGGAGAAGCGCGGCCACGGCCTCGCGCTGGGCGGGCGAGCCAGGGCATTCTCCCAGGCTTGGGCGGAGAGGTCGCGGGCCGACGTTTTACGTCACAAAAATGCGACGGGGCAATTACTGCAAGACGAGGAGGGGGCGCTGGCGGGCCGGGCTGGAGGGGGTGTGGGGGCGTGAGGTCGGCGTGGGCGCCGGGGGCGTGGCTGTCGCACCTGTGCCCTGACGTCCCTGCAGGTGTGGTGGGCGTTCCAGGCCCAGGGCTCTAGGCGACCTTGAAAGTTCAGTGTCCATCGTAGCCTTCGCTCAGGGCTTCCAGTCAGCAGCGTCCGTTCATCCCGAAGCTTGTCAGAAATGCAGATTCTTAGGTTCCCCCACTCGACCGACTGTACTGGTCGCCCTTTCTGTATATTAACAATTCCCTCCAGCGATCTGTACGCCCTATAAAGTTTGAGAGGCACCGGCGGTGGGGAAGGAGCGGGAGCATGGAATGCAGAGGAGGGAGAGTTGGATTTGAATCCAGGCTCCACATTTCGTCAGAGTTCCCTCAGAAAATTGCGAAGTCCTTTACTCATGCTGTTATAGGGCAGCCCCGATACTAAACGGGTTGCGTGACTGTGGGTCCTCACCCGCGCGCTTAATAGGACTTATCAATGCTCTACTGCAGGCACACACGAAAGGTTAATAAAAGGTTTATTTACAAGGGAAGGGCAAATGAGGAAATGTACAGCTCAGGGAGAAAAGTGGGAGACAAAGGTTTAAATGCGTCCTACCCGATCCGCCGATCTGGAATCCCAAATGGCACTCTGAGAGCTGGCCGAGAGCCAGGAGCTGTGAAGCCAGGAGGCCAGCAAGTGAGCCCCCCAAGGCCCACGTGTCTGGTTTTTATACCAACCCTGGCTGCTTAACTCCACCCTCAGGTCCCAGCCACCTTCCCCTTGGTGGTGACGGGATTTGTCTTTCCCAATGTCCTAATGGCTTTGGTCTGGAGTGGGGGTGGAGTCCACAAAGCCTGCATGGAATTAGCTCAGGACATCCTTTCCCCCCTAACAGTACTTACTTGGCTATCACCGCCAGGATTTTTGCCTGTACCAATGCTAGTTGTACTTTTGATTATTAAAAAGTTTTTTTTTCTATAACTGTGTCCCATATTAAAATGAAATAATTCCATTGAAATTAAATCTTTGTAGTATAGGGATATAGCACCACCTACCCCAGAGGGAGTAATCATGAAAAATAAGCAGAAAACCAAAAGTTGTTCAATTATTTTAGATGCTATTGCCCACCAAGGCTTGAATCCAAGACTGTCTTTCTGGGGAAAAGGGATATTAAGAAGTATTAGGAAAATGAGTTTTTCCACATGGTTTCTCAGTGTTGAAGTTAACCTAAGTAGAAAAAAATTATCCATAAAAGACATGCTCATCAGACATAAGAACTCTGAAACACATCTCAAGATAATACCAGTAAAGGTCAGAGTTCACGTTATAAACTAAATTGCCTCTTCTGTTTTCATCTCCAAATATGTGAAATGGAAGGATAACACGTGATGTACCTAAAAACTTTGCAAAAACCCTTTTCTTAGGGAAGAATACTTTGGAAATACCCTAATGCATGGCTCAAAATATAAGCAAGGTGTTAGGAGATTTTTCTTAAAGTCTAAGTCTGGTCAGTCCTGAAGAATTTACATTTTGAAGGCAAGAGGCATTCAGTTGAATTTGTTATGTATCATAATGAGATAAAACCTATCCTCAAAATAAGGTGTTTTAGGAGAATTTGTGGTTTCCAGCTTTGACTGCAAAGACATTTCATTTAGCATTTTTAAAAGATACCAGTGCAGGGTCCTGACTTCCAGAGATCTGCTGGGAAAGAGCATCTGTGGCTTTGAATGCTCCCTAGGGGGTTCACTGGATTGGGAGGGGTGGGTGATCTGGAGCATCATGCCCCTTTAGCTACCTTGTTAGCTTACTAAGAAGAAGTCTCGGGATTTCAAGGCCACATTTCAAGTAGCGTCAGAAATCCAAATCTTTAAATAAAATCTTCTCTGACTTAAGTGTTGGTAAGTAATGCACTTTTAAAAAAAAAGATAATGTTTAGTAATGTGCGTAGAATACACCTGTGGGCCTATCTCACCTACAGGGAACTCCTTTGTGACATTTGGCCTAATGTACTGAGAGTAATAAAGAATAAATACTTGCTTTGCAGCTCATGGAGGAAGAATCAGTGTCAGATTGTGTAGTTCACGAATGACCTTAGACAGTATCAATCGAGCAACTGTGGATCGAATAATCCGGGTGGATCATGCAGGTGAATATGGAGCAAACCGCATCTATGCCGGGCAGATGGCCGTCCTGGGTCGGACCAGTGTCGGGCCGGTCATTCAGGTGGGTTCTTATTCCTCTCTCAGCCTGAGCTACCAAGCCTGGGAGTGTGGGTCTGGTGGTGGGGGGTTGGGTAGAAATGCTCCAGACTTGCCAGTAATGAATCACATCAGGTTATGCATTTTAAAGGGGGTTGCTGTTGCCCCAAGAGAGCACAAGTTAGTTACTAGGGTTGGGGAGTGACAAGCATGTTTTTCTTTTTGATGTATGAAGCACAGCTAGAGCATGTAGCACACAAACAAATCTGTAGATTTAAATTTCACAGTAGGTTTGAGAGTAGCTGCATTAGTTGAAAACGCCAGTTGCTGAGATATTTAATCATATTTAATCCTTCACTGGGGGCACAGGGAGGTCCTGGGCTTTGTAGTCACACACACCTGGGTTCACATTATGGCTCGCACCCACCTGTGCAACCTGGGGTGGCCCCATGGCCTCTCTGGGTCTCTGTTTCCAAGCCACAAGGTGGGCTGCTAATCCCACCTCAGAGCTGTGCGTGAGGAGCCTGCTGCTGTGGAACACTTGACCCCTGCCTGCCTGTAACTGACACTTGGCACGAGTTGAACTACCTGCTCTGAGTCCTTGGATTAGTCCTTAACCTCTCTGTGCCTCACTCTCTTCATCTGAATAAGAATGATAGCAGTTGTCCTTCAGGAAGCAGTTGTGCAGATTAAGTGAGATGCCTGCGTGAAGCTGTCTCACAGTGCCTGGCACTGAGCAAGTGCCGTGTGTTAGCTGTTATTCCTGTTCTGCCTTTCCCATTGATGGAAGTGACACCCGCCCCCCGCCCCCCCCCCCGCATCGCGCTAGCAGTCCGCAAGACAGGACAGCAAGATGCTGCCCTCCTAGTTTGAAATGGGGTGGATGTGGCATTTCTTGCGGTTGGGCCCCGCCCCTCACTAGGGATGCCCTTCTCTTGCTTTGCGGACACGCTCTTTGTCTCCAGAGTCTTTTTCAGTCAGATGTTTTGCTCATTTGCTATGATGACTTGAGAGGAATGGGGGAAATAGCGTCATTTTCTCCATTTCCATTTTGCTTCTTCACCCTACATGATGGGCATGTGGCCTGGTGTGTATGTAGCACGCCCCCTTTTATAGCTTGCATGTCATTATTTGTGTTTCTTATAGAAAATGTGGGATCAAGAAAAGGACCATTTGAAAAAGTTCAGTGACTTGATGGTCGCGTTCCGGGTCCGGCCGACAATCCTGATGCCCTTTTGGAACGTCGCGGGGTTTGCTCTGGGTCCGTGTCCGTCCGCAGGAGCTGTGTGAGCTTAGGGAGCAGGGAGGGTGGAATCACTAGAGCCCACTTCCCCAATTCTTGCTGTGACCTCTTTAATAATTTTCTGAAGTTAAGTGGACTGAGTTTTCTTTTTTGCCTAAATTTAAAGTGAGAGTCTCAGAATCAGAACTTTCATAAAAGGAAGGTAAAGTAAGCATAAGCACGACAGAAGAAAAGGCTGGAGTCACTCAGCTGTAGCCAGCGGATGCGCTCTGACAGAGGTGCTCAGCTGAGGTCTGCTCACTGTTAAAAGGGAGAAGAGTAAATGATCTAGAAGAATCAAAGACATACCCCAAATGAAGACTTTCTCCTTGCCATAGTCAGGAGTTTAGAAAGAGGCTTGAAGAGAGAACAGCTTCCTTACCTTGTGATTCAAGGTTTGACACTGTGACCTGGTACCCCCTAACATGGTGGTCTTCAACCGGGGTGAGTTTGCCCCTGAGGGCACTTGGCAATATCTAGAAAAGTCATTCTGGTTGTCACACTAGGGACTGATGCTACTAGCCTCTAGTGGGTGGAGGCCAGGGGTGCCATTTAGTATCCCCCAGGAGGGCCCAGCAAGGGGCTGACCAGCCCCAAGGTCCATAGTGCCGAAGCTGACCAGCCCAGCCCTACCACCACCTCCCATGCCAGTGTGTCCACCCCAGCCTTTACTGCTCTGGACTTGCCAATTCCAGGCGCGGGAACTGCCCTTCTTGGGAAGGAGGGCGCCATGGCCTGCACTGTGGCTGTGGAAGAGTCCATAGCGCGTCACTATAACAACCAGATCAGGACGCTGATGGAGGAGGATCCTGAGAAATACCAGGAGCTGCTTCAGGTATTTGTGCTCTGGAAAAAGACCCTTCCGGGGGAAAGGGCAGATCTGTGAGTAGGAAGAAGAAAACAGGCAGAGTATTAAGGAATGACGGGGCCTTAGAAGTCCAGTCAGTGCCTCATTTTAAAGCAAATAGCTGAGGAGCAGAGAGCTGGGCCATGCGCTCTGGATAGACTAGAACCCGTGGCTCCGGAACCCAGACCGCTGTTTCTCCACTTCTGGATCATTGGTGGATTCTGAGCATTAAATGCTGTGTACACGAGCCCTTTGGATTAATAATAAAGAATTAAATAATTGAATTTTAATAATTAAAGATAGCCTAAGCTATCTTTGCAAATAAGGCAGCTGAACCTGGGGCTGGGAAACCACGGCCTGTGGCCAAGCTCCAGTTTCTGTACATACAGCATCTTAGGAACTCAGCCACGCTCTCCGTGTCCACGTCCGGGCCTGCTGTCCCTGCCTTGGCGGAGCTGGGTAGTCATACCAGAGACCAGACAACCCACAAAGCTTAAAATCGTGACTGTGCCCACTTTGGGGGAAAGTGTGCTTCCCTGCTGTTAGATGAGATGGGAGCCCTTCGCCTCCCGAATCAGGTTGTGCAGCAGAAGACGGGACCACTGACGTGCTTCAATTCCTTTTTGTCTGTCCAGGTGATAAAGAAATTTCGGGACGAAGAGCTCGAGCACCATGACATAGGCCTCGAGCACGACGCAGAGCTGGTAGGGCCTGCTGGCACTGTGCGCTTGTAGTGCTTGGGGTGCCTTATTGGGAAGGCTGAGGAGGTGGGAAGGTTTCTGTTCCCAGAAAAATAGAAATTGCAGAGAGACCCCAAAGGAAGCAAACCAACACGCTGCTTTGACCAAAAGTGAGCAAACACATTGCTCCTGATCCGTCCCTCTTTAGTGCTTCCTTCCTGCCCCTGTGCCTCCAGGGAGAACCCAGATGAGTGGGAGCTGTGGCTGAGGCTGAGGAGGGGCACTGAAGTCTTTTGAATAGGTCTTTTTCCAGATGAAAAGAAGTTGTTTCTCAGATCTTATCTGGAGAACCGCCCCCCCCACCCCTGCCGTGCAGACCAGCCTCTGACAGCCACCAAGTGTGGCCACGTGACACGTCTCCTGTTGGCTGACTGTTGCCGTTCTCAACAGGCGCCGGCATATGCTGCTTTGAAGAGAGTCATCCAGGCTGGATGCAGTGCAGCGATCTATCTGTCGGAGAGGTTCTAAAGTCTGGCCAGTGACAGTGGCAGAAAAGGAACTGTACAGTTACTCTTACATGAATTTTGTTAATAAACTGAGGGGGTTTTCATGAATAGAACTGTCCATCGTTGGTTTTTCTCTGTGCTGTCTTAATGCCATAGGCGGACAATTTATCAGGAATGTCCAAACTGCAGCAAACAAAGTTGTCCTTGTTTGGTCCAGAGTTAATTTTTCCTGGAACATGAAGCATTAAAGTAACAGGAATCTTGAAGAGAAAAAAATTTTTTCTGAGTTTACTGGTAATGAAAGATCATTTTAAACCCAAGGGTGTTGACTGACCGAGCAGGACTATCAGGTGGACCCGGGCCAGGAGCTGTGGAGCATCTCATTGTGTCCACTTTGTACTGGAGGGTGGTGTAGTCCCCTCACAAGACAGACGTTGTGGATTCTTCGCAGCATTGAATTATAATCTTTTTTTGGGTGTGTTGCCAAAGAATGAACCAAAACTCACTATAGTTTTCATACTTTGTAGAAATCTTACGTGATTTACACAGTTTTAAATGATTTGTGAGAATCTGAGACCCGTGGTTCTGCTCTCTGGCTACACACTGGAATGTGCTGTGGAGCTTTATAAAATTGTTCAGATTGCAGACCCAGGGCTCCCGGGTATGAGTCAGGCTGGGCACCCCGGCTAGAGTGGAAGCCTTTTGTGAAACCACGTCGTCCAGTTTTTGCCTCTTCCCTGGCCTCACGACCACGCGTGACTAACCAGGGTCCAGTTTTAAAGGACAGGGGTCACGGGGTTAGTGTGGATTCATCCTCTCCAACCTCTCTTTCCCTGAACCAAGGGCGAATTTCATTTTATTTAATCAAGTGAATCAGCCTTCTGATCACTGCAATAAATTCAATGTGGGAGAGAAAGGTTAAAGACAGCTTGAGATTTCAAGCCCTTTTATGCTGGGTCACGAACAGCAGACTGCAGTACCGCTCAGTTGGCAACCACAGAAAAGGCAAGTTCCAAGGCAGTTATTGTGTCACATTCTTTTTAACTGTGCATTTTATGTCTTTTTTATAGACTGTTTATTGAGGCAAAACACCTTTTCTGTTTTCTGGCACACACTAGGTGCCATTGAAAGGAGGGGAGAAAAGGAAAAAGAAACAGGAGAGAGCGGAAGAGGCAGATGTTCCTAAAGCCCTGCAGAAACATGGGGGGAAGGGCTCTGGGCTGGGCTGGGCTCCCTCCTCCGGACCCTCAAAGCTGATCTCAGTCCTCTGGGTCTCAGTGCTGGATCCCAGCAGTGGCCCTCGGTCCTTATCTATCACCTTCTCTTTAGTGGCTCATCCGGCCTCTGGCAGATTCCTTCTCCTCTGAATCTCCAACTTCTTGTCTGACCCCCCAACTTCTTGTCTGACCCCTGCACTTGGAACTCAGAGAATCTTAAGTTCCACTTGCCTCAGGCTGAACTCTCCCCACAACCTCCTTGGTCTTCCCCATTGCTGTTCATAGCCGCTCCATCCTTCTGTTCCTCAGGATGAAATCTCTGGAGTCACCTTTGACACTTGCCTCTGTCACACCCCCGACCTGTTGAGCAGGTCATCCTGCACGCTCGCCCACATGCTTTCCATTGCCTCACCTGCTGCCGCCCAGGCCCAGCCACCCTCATCGCTCACCTGGATTATTTCAGAAGACTGTTCTTCCTGCCTTTCTCTTGTCCTCCAATGGTCCCTTCTCAACCTGACAGCACACGCTGTTACTGCTCAGCTCAGAACCCCCCAGTAGCTTTTCCCATTTCCCTCAGAAAAAAAGTCCCTAAGATGGTTCAAAGACCATGTGTGATCTGGTCCTCTATGACCCCCTTCCCCCTTCCTCATGCTGCTCCAGTGACACAGGCCTCCTTGCTGTTCCTGCCTCATCTTTGCAGTGGCTGATCCCTCTGCCTGGATTGCTTTCCCCCGATACCCACACATTCAGATTCCTGCCAACAACCAGGTTTTTGCTCAAATGTCACCTTTCAAGCAGACCCACCCTGACCACTTTTTGTAAAATTGCAGCCCCACATACCACATGGCTCACCCCCTTGCTGTGCTCTGCCCTGCTCCTCTACCCCCAATTATTGCCTTCTAGCATTTATATAATATACTTACTGGTTATGATTCTTGTCTTTGTCCCTGCAAGAGTTCAAGTTCTATAGGACTTAAACTTTTCTTTAATTCCTGACACACATTAGGTGCTCATTAAATAGTTTTTGATGGGGTTGAATAAAGAAATCACTTTGCCTTGTTGGATATCATTTTCACATAATTAATTCAAGATTATGTCTGTGTATGTGTCTCAGCAAAATTCAGTGGAGGTTCATTGAAAATCTGTATCCATGAAGACTGGGTCCCTAGACCCCTGGTCTGCACAAATTGTTTTGCTACAAAACTCAAAAGTCTTCCAGCCAGAAAGAAAGGGGGAAAAAGCTACTAGAAAATCAAAGACATGGCATTCTCTATTCTTGCTGATCATTAAGGAAAAATACAGGCTGGATATCCACATGCAAAAGAATGAGTTTGGACCCCTCCCAGCAAATACCAACATTAATTAAAAATGGACTAAAAATTAAATAGTAATGCCTAAAACTCTAAAGCCCCTAGAAAAAATACAAGGTTAAATCTGTGTAGCTGTGGGTTAGGCAACCCTAGATAAGATATATAAGCTATAATACCATATCTGTTGCTTGTTGCACAAGCCACAAAAGAAAATAAATAAATTGAGCTTCATCAAGATAAAAACATTTGCATCTCAAAGAAAGTGGAAAGATAACCCACAGAATGGGAGAAGGAACTTGCAAATCACATAAGAGACACCTATCTAAAAAATATAAGGAATTCTTACAACTCAACAATATAAATAGCCCAGCCTGGTTAAAAATCGGCAATGGAATTGCCAGGTATTTCTCCAGAGACCTACACATGGTCGATAAGCTTTTGATGAGATGGTCAGCATTATTAATGGTTAGAGAAGACCACGATGAGATATCACTTTCTACCCACAAGGCACTAGAAAGTAGTGAAAAAGATGGAAAAGGGTTGGTGAGGACATGGAGAAATTGGAACTCTCGTCCACTGCTTGGCACTGTAAAATGGTACAGCCCCTTGGGAAAACAGTCTGGCAGTTTCCACAAGATACAGTAAGTAACTCCTCCGTATAAACCCCAAATAAATACTTGTATGTGACTGTTCAACATGAGTCATATTAATCCTGAAATGGAAACAATCCCATCATCCATCAGCTGATGAATGGATACCATGTGGTACATCCAAACAATGGAATATTATTCAGCCATAAAAAATGAATGAAGCGTCAATACCTTCTAGGACATGGATGAGCCTTAAAGACATGATGCTTGGGAACAGGGTTTCTCAATGGGAATGAAAGCAGCCCTGCAGATGGGTGGTGTGAACCCACTTACTGCCACAGAACGGCACACATGGACATGGTCAGGATGTTAAATATGTTTTGGCCACAATAATAAATAGTGTAAACGTGCTAAGTGAAAAAACCCAGGTGCGAAAGGCCATATATTGTAGAATTCCATTTATAGGAAATGTCCATAACAGCTAGACCATAGAGACAGAAAATAGACTGACAGTGACCTGCAAGGGGTGGGGAGAATGAGGAGTAGCCACTAATGGATATGGCGTTTCTTTTGGAGGTGATGAATGTTCTAGAATTTGATGGGTGATGATGGTCAGGCAACATTGTGAATGTGCTAAAACCCACCGAATCGTACACCTTAAATGGTGAATTATATGTGAATCATAGCAATTTAAAAATGCAGGGCCTATAATTTTAGTCTGTATTTGAAAGCAGATTTTGATTCAGGCCATTGAATAGGGAATAGATTTTTCCAACCTTCCAGTCTTCGAACAGGTCCTGCAAGTAGAAACCTTGCTCTTCTGAGATGCTGGCGCTGTTTCTGGCTTCCGTTCGCTGCTCGCTGTGGTCGGGAGTCTTAGTCATGTTAGGGCACTCTGCACACTCCTGTGAACAGCTGACTTTTGCTGCTGTTTGTTTAGCATCCCCTTCAGAGTCGATGGCTGATGGGTTATGCCTCTGAGAGCTTCTAGAACAAGACGAGAGACTTTCTGAATCCCTCTTTGATGGTTTTTAATTCCATTACAGCTTGTCCTCGTGTATTAACAAGGCAATCATGTCTTTCCTTGCGTTTACTGCTCTGACCTTTCAGGGGAAATGTGATTTTAAACTTGGATGCCATCCAGAGATGATGCCAGGATGACAAAGGATGTTATTCTGCATGCAGTTCAGATCCTAAGTTGCCATCTGAAACTAGAGTTCTCTGCCTGTGTTTGATGCCCTCACGACTCAGTGTGGCCTGTGGACCAACACGTTGGTGTCACCTGGGAGCATGTGAGATGTACAGAATGTGGGACCCCACCCCGGACTGACTGAATCAGAATCTGCTTTTAACGGAGGTGGTGTTTTTAAAGTACCCACAGATTCCTTGCTACTGCCTCTGTTTGGCAGAGCCAGTTCCCGGTAGCCGTGGGTGTGGCTGTTCTTCTTACAAACAGAATGTGGTGGGAATGATAGAGTGTGACCTCCGAGGCTGTCAGATCCTAAAAGGTATTGTAGTTTCCACCTTTCTCTCCAGGTCACTCTCTGGGAGAACTCAGCTACCTTGTGGCAAGCACACTCAGCCATTAAGCTGGGAGAGGGTCACATGGCCAAGAACTGAGGTCTTCTTCCGACAGCCAGGTGTGTGACATCTTGGACTGGACCCTGTGGCTCCAGTCAAGTCTCCCCACGACCCGTGGTCCCCTTGTCTGGCCCACGACCTCATGAGAGACCCAGAGGCAAGTCACTCTGAACTCCTGACCCCCCGCAACATGAAATAGTACGTGTATGCGAAAAGCTGCTGAGTTTCCGGGTAACCTGTTATCCAACAAAGACAGGGCATTCAGAAGCCTTGAACTAGACCTTGAACTCCTGGGAGGCAGAGCCCATCTTAGTCATTTTTGTATCTTCAGCTCTTATCACTCAGGTGATTTCTGTTGCACTGGATACAAGGTTACATTGCCCTGTTTAAAAAAAAAAAATAAGTTTCCTGTTAATAAATAATGCATCCATGTTCATGGTGAGACATTGCCACCGTGCTGGGTATTTACAGTGAACCAGAGCCTCCCCCAGGCTGCCTGCCCATGAGGCCTGCCTGCCTTTGTGAACTACTGGCAATCTGCCTGCCACGCGGGGCAGGCCACCCCCTCCCAAAAGTAATACTTGTTACAATGCACATAAATTGCATATAAGTTTTTTGAAAAGTGCCCCTTCCAAGCATATTCCCTGGCAGTAAACACTGTGTTAGTAATTCATCAGATTCCTTCATTCATTTAGACTCTTTAAAATCTCTTACCCAGGTACACACTTGGGTTTCTGTTATTCCCCAAATGGAAGGAATAACACTGTATCTTGATGTTGCATTATTCTTTTTACTAAAGATTTATTTTATTTATTTATGCATACAAGAACTGGGGTACAGGCCAGAGGTGTGGGGGGTGAGAAGATTCAGCAGAGAGAGTGGGGAGCAGAACAGACAGACTGACTGAAATACGCTGCTGAGGGGAGCAGCGGGCAAGTCAGGAGTGGTCTGCTGGGCCATGTGGGTGGCTCCCTGGGTAGGGATTGAACCCGTGCTGCAGTGGTGGCTGATTGCTTGATAGGGCTAAGACTTGATCGACTTAATCCCTTGCACCACCAGGAAGGCCTTGGTAGTGTTTTTTTCGTTGCGCCCCCCATATGGGCCATCTAGCCAAGTCTCCTCATTCCTCTACCTGGCTCTGGCTCCACTTCTACAGCAGAGCAGGAGGTACTGTGCACCCCTGGCAGCCATGGCGGGGAGTGGGGCGGTAAACTTAGTCCTTAGGCCCCTGGCCTCTGATTTCCCCTCTTCCCTACGGCGAGCATGTGGCTTAATAACAGAATTTGCAGCCTCAACCTTTGGACATGGTTTGTATGAAATTTCAGGCGCAGGGACCCTGCGGTTGTTACTCTTAGAGATCCCATACCCCTCTGAGATGTGATAAAACTCTCGCCCTGCACCCAGGGCCTCCTCCAAGCCCTCCTCAAGATCCCTGGCTGGGGCCATGGGAGAAGAAAACTTGACCTTTCCCAGCCCTTCCCTCACACCCGCTCCTTTCTGGCGCGGCTGCAG